AAGGAAGTGTTCTTTGATGTGTGCTGTCCAATATGGTAGCCACTGGCCACTCATGGCTATTGAATATTCGAACGTGGCTAACAAGACTGAGGAACTGATACTTAATTCTATTTCACCTTAATTTAAATTTAAATAGCCACATGTGCTAGTGGCTAGTATACCGGGCAGCACCGTTCTAGAAGGCAATCTAATATCTATATGGTTTTAAAAAACCACAGGCTTCCTTTAACCCACTTTTGGTAATCTATACATAGCAATAAAAGTACCTTAGGGTGGAAGTGAGGGGAAGATAAACCAAAATAAAATATTTAAGGGTAAGGAAAAAAAAAAAAGAGGTCATAATTTAAAAGGGAATATATAATTTCATTAATGTGAAGATATATACGTCAAAAAATACATTTTTAAAAACCCACCACAGGGTTCTAACATTCAAAAAGAGCATTCATGTCTGTTTACACATGGACACAGCAATATATGGAAGGATACTCCCAAAATGTTCATAATGTTATCTCAGATGGTAGGATTTTTAGGTAATTATTACTTAATCTATTAAATCTTTTTTATAGCTTGAATTTATGACTATGAATTATTTATATACTCAGAAAAAGAAAACTTTAAAATATTTTCATTTGGAAAAAATATACACCATATTACTGGATCAAAGGATAAACTCAGTTTTAAGGCTTTTTTCTGTCTGCATAGCCGAACTGCCCTCTAGAAAGGCTGCCCCAACCTCAGCAACCAACTAGCAATTCCCCACACACATACCCTCACCAACAGCAAGCACTACAATTTTTTTCACCTTTGCCAATTTAACAGGTGAAAAATGGAATCTTTTTTATTTGAATTTTATTTATTACTAGTGAAAATGCACTTTTATTCACTTATTTGCTAGTTATTTGTATTTCTTTTAGAAATATCTTGTTCATATCCTTCTGACTTCATCATCAGGGTGTACCTCTTTTCTTATTAGTTTGTAAAGATTCTTTATATATTAAGGTTATCAAACCTGTCCTTTCATGCCCATTGCAAGTATCTTCCCCCTTTGCCATTTGCTTTGTTACTTTGTATCTTGCTTTCAATATGTAGAAGTTTTCAATGTTTATGTAGTTAAAACCTACCAATTTCTCTTTTATGTTTTCCACCTTTGGTGGTATACTTTAAAGAGTCCATCTAGGGGCCAGCCTGGTGACACAGTGGTTAAGTGGGCACGTTCCACTTCTCGGTGGCCCGGGGTTCACCAGTTTGGATCCTGGGTGGGGACATGGCACCACTTGGAAAAAGCCATGCTGTGGTAGGCGTCCCACATATAAAGTAGAGGAAGATGGGCATGGATGTTAGCTTAGGGCCAGTCTTCCTCAGCAAAAAAGAGGAAGACTGGCAGTAGTTAGCTCAGGGCTAATCTTCCACACACACACAAAAAAAACCCCATCTCCGTTCCAAGTCCTCCAGGCCTTCTCCCAATAAAGACTAAAATTTATTTACTACTAGTTCTTTTCTGGCTTTATTATTTTAATTCTATCTCTTCAATGAGATTTTCACATTTCTACTATAAAAATATATTGATATATTTCTTTAAAATGACCCATAACTTTACCATGTTAACTATTTTTGTGTGTTCCCCTCTAGCCTTTATTTCATAAAAATAACAGCTTCTATTTATTGAGCATATCAGGTCAGGTGCTTTACAAACTTTATCTCTTGTAATGTATACAATCCTGTGAGATAGATATCACAGAAGAAGACACTGTCCATTTGATGGAAGAGGACACTGAGGTTGAAAGGTTAAGGACTTGTCAAGGTTACTTCCTGTCAGCAGCCATTCTGGAGTTTGAACATAGGCCTGTCTAACCCCTCAACTTGTATGTATAGTAGAAAATAATTTATATCCTGCTTGTTTAATATTTAGTATCATACGTAGTTGTGACAGTTAACATTGTTTGTACCTACTATCCATAACCATTTTAATAACAGCACATTATTCCACACAGTAATACACCCCAATTTAATTAACCATTTCCCGTTATCAGAAGTTTGAAATGCTTCCTGGTTTTTCACTGTTACATATAACTCTGAAATGACAATGATTTTATCTTTCTAAACTGCTTCCTTAAGATAAATGCCACAGAACCATATTACTGGGTCAAATGAAATGCACATTTTCTGTGGCTGTTAATTATATTATGATACCTTGCCTTCCAATGAAAGCTGTACTTATTAGACAGGGAGGGCTGGATTGATCTTTGCAGCTTCACTAACTTTAGATGACATTTTAAAAAAACAGATTTTAACATTTCTCAAAAACTGTTTTCCTTTGTTTTATAACCCAGGCTTATGTTTCCATATTAAATCGTAGACTAGGATAGAAATTTTCCAGTGCAACCCCTTTATCTCAACGTGAAGAAGGTAAAGCCCAGAAATTACATGACTTGGCTGTGTTCACCTGTCTGGTCCCATCAGAGCCAGACACTCTGGTTATTCGTAATGCCATATAAATATGTCTAGTGTTTAGTGTGTTAATGCTGTGAGGATGCTAGTGTCTTCCCTATCACACACATAGTGGACGTTTCACTTTCAAATTCCTCAGTAGATGTTAACCAGAGACCAACTCGCTGCTTCCAGATCTGCCACTAGCTACGCTTCTGGTCCAATCTTAAACTCTTCTCAGAAATATACAATACACTTTCAACTACTTTAACAATTCTTCAGAATAATTTAGGATTTGAAGTTTCTTTCGTGTGGAGAGGATGGTTGAACAAAGCACAAGATTTATGACAAGAGCTTTTTTCCCTATGTTTAAGGCCTGAAAGAAACATGTATGTACAGGCTGAAACCAAAAAAAATCATTGCTAAGTAAGGGCCTCCTTCACCCCATGTAGCAGGAGGTAAACTATGTAATCACACCCCTCAGTGTTTATAACCCAATGAAGAGACTAAAATGTCAAGGCCAGAGAGATCTTAGAAACTGTCTGCCTACAACTAGAAGGACCGGCAACTAAGATATACAACTGTGTACAGGGGGGATCTGGGGAGATAAAGCAGAAAAAAAAAAAAGATTGGCAACAGTTATTAGCCCAGGTGCCAATCTTTAAAAAAAAAAAAGAAACTGTGTGGAGTTCAACCAGCTCATTTTATAGAGAAGAAAGTAAAACCCTAGAGGGATAAAGCGACTTGCCCAAGATCACACCAAAAGGTAGTAAAAGGACTTAAGCATTTAGCCCAGAAGTCTGGAGAATAGTGCAGAGGCAGGTATACAAAATATTCTAAGACATTAAGACCAAAAGATGCTTAACGGAAATAAATACCCAAAGTATAAAAGGATGGAAAGAAAACACAGTTCTGATTGACAAGGTGGAAAAACTCAGTGACTAAACGTAGCTGTTTTTGAAACCACTGAGTCTTCTAGGTAGCACCTTGAAAAATTTCACCTAAGCAAGCTCTGTAGATAAATACTTCAAGGAGAGCTCCTGAAGCAAATGAAAACAAACCGAAGAGATCATAGATTCTGACTCCGCAGCTTTCAGACATCAACTGCCCTCCGACCTCTCACCCACAGGATACAGACGCAGCTCACTCTAGGATATTTTGGCTTTCGTGAGCCTTTATTATTTTATCATCCTCCCTATTTGCTAAGAAGCTGCCTAACAGATGAAATTATTGAAACAATTTCAGGGAGGGAGAGTGAGACTTTGATATCACATGAAAACTCTGTCTTCAACTTGGAGAATTTAGTAATATAAAAGGACAAACAAATCATGTCACAAATTCTCAATCAATTTTTTAATGCATATATGGACTTTTTTTTAAGTATCAGAAAGAAGGGTATGTATCATAAGTCTAACGGAAGAAATAAATTTCGAAGCGGGCTTAAAGAATGGATCATGAAATCAACTTAGTGGGTCATGACTAGCATTTTTTTTCAAAATGCAATAAAAAAGAAACACCAGGAAAACTGTACGTAGGAAGGTTAAGTAAGTTCTATTGTGTGAAACTTGTCTCAATTATAGCTATGTGTGTGTTTACTGAGTTGAAATATAAAACAGATGTTTTTACTATGAGTCACTTTCAAAAAAGTATGAGAAACAAGTTTAAAAGAGCATTATGCAAGTAACAGAAACAACTGGATAGATGCTGTAATGCTTCACGGCTTAGAGAAAAATATTGGGCTGTAATAGTGAATAAATGCAGGAGAAACAATATGAGAAGAGAATAGAGAATCCCAAAATCAGTTTCCGTGCTGGATCCCCAATGCCAGGCACAGCGTACTCAATAAACGTTTGTGGAGTGAATGAAGGCATAATTATGGAAATAATTAACTATGAGACCAGAGGCCACCAAGGATAGGAAGAATATAATCAAAAACACGTATGAAGGGGCCGGCCCATGGCCTAGTGGTTAACTTCCACTTCAGCAACCTGGGGTTCAAGGGTTCGGATCCTGGGCGCGGACCTAGGCACCCTCATCCAGCCACGCTGAGGCAGCATCCCACATAGAAGAACTAGAACGACCTATAAATAGGATGCACAACTATGTCCTGGGGCTTTGGGGAGAAAAAAAAAAAAAAAGAGGAAGAGTGGCAGCACATGTTATCTCAGGGCCAATCTTCCTCATCATAAACACAAAACGAAAAAACATGTATGAAGACGATTTCTTTGACAGCAGCTTTAGAGAAACGGAAAACCGAAGGGCATTTCATCTACGTATTTACGTGAGTGTGTAGACGGATTTACACACATACACACGCCAAACACACTATTACAGCACATAGAAGCATGGGGAAAGCACGGATCGTGCACAAATCTGATTAGAGCCCCCTCAACCAGCAGTCCTGACGGCAGCGAAGGAAGGGGTAAAAGGACGTGGACAGCAGGACGGACGGACTGACGGCGCCCCCGCACAGGGCGCCAGGCGCCGACGTGGAGCCGCAGGCCGCCGCCCAGGGCACACCGGGCCGAGGCCACAGAAGGCTCCCACCGCGGCCCCCGCCTCCCGCTCCTCACCATCTGCATGGCCTCCTCCATCCACTTCTCGGTCTCCTCCGCCGACACGGAGCCCGCGCCGCGGCCGACCGGCGTGGACTCCTCGGCCGCCGCCTCCATGGCGCCCCGGGGCCCCGGCGGCGGGACGCTGGCACGGAACGCCGAGGCTGCGGGCCCAGTTTCCGGGGGAGCCGGACGGCGCGGCGCCGGGGAGCGAATTGCGGACGGACCCGGGCGCCGGCCCAGAGAGCGGTGCGGCGGCTGGAGGCGTCCGGCCCGCCCAGGCCACGCTCCTCGCGCGCGGTGACAGGCTCTGCGGAGAGTCGCGTTGGTGGCCTCCGGCGCGCGCCGAGCGGGACGACGGCTCTCGGACGGGGTCGCGGGCCAGGGGAGGCGGAAGCGGCTTCCCGGGGACGCCCCGCGCCGGCGGCCCCTCCACCCCCGCCCCGGGCTCGAGGATGCTGCGGTCTACGTGGAATTTTCTGAAACGTCACAAGAAGAAATGCATCTTCCTCGGCGCGGTCCTCGGAGGTGGGTGGCGGCGTCCGTGGCGGGGCTGCTTTCCGACCGGAGACCGGCGTCCGGAGTCGTGGGGGGGCGTTCGACCGTCGGCGGGAGCGCGCTGCGACCCCGGGCCTGCGCCCGTCGCCCCGACCGGGCTGCCGGGCTCTCGCCCCCCACCCCCCCGCCCCCCGGCCCCGGCGCGTCCCCCCGGGCTCCGAGCCTCGCGTCGGGGCGGCCCGGTGCTGCTCGTGCCGCCCGCTCGCAGCCGCCGCGGGGCGTGCAGTCCGTCGGGAGTCGTGAACACAGCGCGGGTGTGCTGAAGGGCTGGGAGAACCCAGATCGGTCTCCGAGCGCTGCTTCTGCTCGTTCAGCGTGCAAGCTCAGCTGGAAATCACGCAGGGAGAAAGCGCTTGCGGGATGCTGTGCCGGCGCCCTCCGCATCGTCGGGATCGGGACCGCGCCCGCCCGTGTGTCTTATCTGGGTTGCACACGCCGAGAGGAGGTTTAGAAACAGACGAGATAACCATCTTGGGAGCCTTTTCCTCCTGTGCCAGTCATGTCACAATATGCAGGGATTTGAAGGAGAGGAGAGAAAGCCTTGAGAGAGAGAGGAGAAGGAAATGTAGGAATGTTAAGACGGAATTTTTAGAATTTGAGTTTTTTTGAGAGAGCTTATCACTACGTGCTTTGGTTGCAGAAATACTTAAAAAACAAGAACAGAAGTTTCCCAAAGAATTTGGTTGCTTTTCTCTTACCGTTAGATTATATTCTTTCGCCCCTAAACAACTTGAAATTAGCAATACTCTTAGCATCAGGGATTTGATCTGTTGTTCTTGAAAGTCTGAAACAGGATTCTTGTTGATGAGGCGAAGAAAATCTTTTCCTTGTCTCCGAGGACTGTCACAAGTCGATAGTGAGCAAATGTAAATTTTTATCACATTCTTTGAGAAATCCTTTATAGATAAAATGTATTTTCCAATATCCTCAATTGCTGATATTTAATATATATTTTAAATTATGGTAAGACTACCGAGTCCATTTTATTTGTAGAACCTAAAGATATGTGTGTGATGGAAGAAGTATAAGTAAAATATTTTTGCCACTACTCCATGAAGGAAAATAATCTCTCTTTAGGAATCTCAGAAAGAGTAGCATACCCCTTCAGACTTACAGAACAACCTAATGGTAGATTACGCATAATCATAGGGGAAGTGAAAGAGTATAATACTTAAGAGATAGTTATAGACTTTTTCCAAAAAGCTATCAAGAGCTTCATAGTTACAAATTAAGAGGAATAAGAAAGAAAAAAGTTCAGAGGGACAGAAAAAGAAAATAATCCTAGTGTTTTAGAACAAAAAAGGAGGTCAGTCTAAAAAGGAAAGAGTAGAGGACTGCAGTTGGCATTTGTTTGAGCTTCCTATTCTTCCTGCTTCAGGGGAAGGCCTAACATGTTAACAATTCAGTTAATCTAATGGAGGAAGCGTTTGTCGCCATGCCTGTAGTGTTGAAGGCAATGTGATTGGAACTACAGGATTTACAGAGATTTTTAACAGTAACAGCTGCCATTTATAGGGTGCCCAGTGGGCACTGTGCTAAGATTTTCTATTCAGTGGAGATGGCAACTAGGGTAGTTACTGTTATCCTCACTCAAAAATGTGGGAACTAGAGCCCTAAGAATTTAGGAAACTTGCCCAGAGTCTCAGAGCTAGTAACAAGGAAGCTAGAATTCAGACCTAGGTGTATTAGATGCCAACGCACGTTCTCTTTCCACACTTCACCGCTCTGCCTTCAAGAACTTCACGGTCCGATAGGGATGAGAAACAAGTGTTTTGTCCATTCAGGCTGCTATAACAAAGTACCACAGACTGGGTGGCTTGTAAATGATGGGAAGTTATTTCTCATAGTTTTGGAGAGTGGAAGTCCAAGATTAGGGTGCCAGCATGGTTAGGTGAGGACCCACTTCCGGGTTGCAAACTTCTTGACGTGGCAGACTTCTATCCTGAGGTGGCAGAAGGGGCTAGGGAGCTCTGTGAAGTCCCTTTTATAAGAACACTAATCACATTCATGAGGGCTCCACCTGCGTAATCTAATCGTCCCCCCAAAGACCCCACTTCCTAATACCATCCCATCGGGCATTAGGATTTCAACAGATGAATTTTGAGGGGACACAAACTTTCAGACCATAGCAACAAGTATACAAATAATTAAAATGCAAAACAATAAGAGAGTGGAAAAATGCTATCCAAATCAAACTGGCGGATAGCGTGTGCAGTCGTAGAACGTCAGGAAAGGACTAAATGGAAGAGGCACATTTTGACAGGCTTGAGAGCAAGGTAAGATATCAACATGCCTGCTCCGAGAAGTTAGGCCATTCGGTGGTGGGGAGACCTAAGTAAAAGCTTTGAGTTGCAGGCCTTCTTAAATAGGAATTTCCTGCATTTTGAATAAGCAACTCCTTTAGACCAGTTTGCACAATTTGACCAGTTTATGAAAAAACTAGAGCGGTGGTTCTCAAACCTTTTGGCCTGAGGTTTACTTTATACTTTTAAAAATTAAGGACTCGAAAGAGCTTTTTAAAATTCGTGTCAGTAGTTGCCATATTAGAAATTAAAACCAAGAAATTTTTAAAATATTAATTTAAAACTAACAGTAGTAAACCCATTACATATTAACATACGTATTTTCCCAAAAAAAGTTGTGAGAAGAGTAGCATTGTTTTACATTTTTGCAAATCTCTTTGCTGTCTGGCTTAATTGAAGCAAGCTAGATTCTCATGTCTCTGGATGCTTTCAGTCGGTTGCGATGCCACATGTCGTGTAGAATCCGTGAGTGCTAGAATACTGCACTGTACAGTCGTGGGAGAATGAAAATGGAAAAGGCTGGGATCACTGTAGTGTTATTATGAAAATAGTTTAGACTCACCGATCCCCTGAAAGAGTAGTAAATGCCTCCAGGAATACCAAGCCACACTTTGAAAACCACTACACTAGAGAAAGTGTTGCAGAACGGAGAACAACCGGATTCATATTTATTGCCTTACTGATATCTCAGAATCCCAGAGCACTGATTTATAATTTATATCTTAATCCCTGTGATTTTTGTTTTTTCCAGTTTTTCATTTAGTCATTCATTCACTCTTTCATTCAACAAGCATTTGCATGAGAGTCAGTGCCTACTGGGAGTACAAAGAAATAAGACCCAGTTCTTGACGTTGAGGAACTCACGGTGCCGTCCGGAGAGCAGAAATGGAAATAAACAGGCGGAGGACAATGCTAGTGTTCTAGTGCCATAACAGAGTGGGGTGCTGTGGTGGCATTGAGGAGAGAAACCTGAAGGTGTCTGGCAAGCTTCACTCGAGAGTCCGCTGGGGTTAAGTTGTACAGCTAGCAAAGGAGAAGGGGGCACATATTTATATTTTTAAGAAGTATTATATGTTGTTTGAAATGCTAAAGGGACGTCCCAGACTCAGAGACATTGCTTTTGATGCATCAAAGCATGTCTCACTGGCTAAGCACAGGAGAAACGGGGAGAGGCAAAAGATGAATTTGGGGGACTAGCTGCATGCAAATAGTGAAGGGCCTTCCTCACTGTGCCATTCTTCAGAATTTGTATCAGTGCTTCCCAGACTTTAGTTCGGATAACAGTCACTTAAGGGGCTTAGTAAAAATGGAGAATCCTTTTTCCTAGATTCTGATTCTTTAGGTCCAGAGTGCAGGTCATTCGGTCATCCATTCATTAAGCAAATATTTCTTGAGCTCCCGTTTGTATCAATATCATGTATTAGGGATACAGCATCATACAAAACAAGACATTTGGGGATGTTTTCAAGGAACTTCCTTAAAGGCTACATTTTTGACAAGTATCCCCAAGTAATTCTGATGTAAGTGGAACAGGGAATGCACATTAAGAAATGGTGGCAGGGTGTTGAAGAATTCTGAACGCAGGAATGTCAGATTTAAGTTTCAGAAAATCACTTTGCACATTAAAGATGGATTGGAAAGGCGTGAGACCAGAAACAAAAGAGGAAAGTTAGGAAGCTGTTAAACCAGTTCAAGGGCGATCATATTCAGGGTCTGAGTGAAGACAATGGTAAAGGAGCCGGAGTACAGTGGCAAAATTTAGAAAATATTTCCGAAGTAGAATCAGAATAGCAGGATTTGGTGGTCTCTTGGTTTGGGAGTGATGTTAATAGATTATTTTCAAACTCTTATTGAAATTGTTAATCTAGTAAAATACTTGTATTGCAGAGATTTTCATCCAGGAAGAGAAGATTAAGAGATGGTTTTAAAAACCCAAATTTATTACGTGGAAAAACTGAAGATGTTTTGCTTTACCCGGCAATGTTCTGAAAGGAAACCTCAAAACATTTTACGTTTATTTTTTGAAGTATTTAGTGAATGTTTTCATTATTCATAAATCAAGTCATAGCTACAGAAGAAACTTCACAGCTTTTGTAATTAATCATAATCACATCAACATAATCATATAAATCCCAAATAATCCCATAATGAAATTTTATGAATGGGGAAATTTAGACCAAAAGAGAAGACAGGACTTGCTTGAAGTTACTTACTTAGGTGGTTCCACAGCCGTCTATATCTGCTGTCAGCCAGGCCAGAATTCAGGCAGCCAGTCAGGTGTATAGATGATCCTGAGCTCTGTATTTCAGCGAATGAATTCTCTGCCTTCATTCTCACTTTCCTAGAGAGACAAATCTGAAAAAATCAGAATTTATGAATTTGGGGACTGAGAGCCTGGGTAAATTGGACCTTGTGTAGGGACTTACTGCAGTGCTAACTCAAGAAAAATAGTGGATTGTGGGATTGTAGCCTAAGTCCATGTATCAGTTTGCTAGGGCTGCCATAACAAAGTAGTACAAACTGAGTGACTTAAACAACAGAAATTTATTGTCTCTCAGTTCTAGAGGCTGGAAGTCCAAGGTCAGTGTGTTGGCGGGATTTGTTCTCCTGAGGGCTGAAAGGGAAGAATCTGTTCCAGGTCCCTCTCCTTGGCTTATAGATGGCCATCTCCTCCCTGTGCCTTTATGTCATCTTCCCTCTACACCTGTCTGTGTCCAGGTTTCCTCTTCTTATAAGAACACCAGTCACGATGGATTAGGGCCTACCCTGATGACCTCCTTTTAACCTGATTACATCTGTAAAGACCCTACATCCAAATAAAGTCACATTCTGAAGTACTGGGACTTCAACATATGAATTTTGGGGGCGACACAATTCAAGCCATCACAATTCATTTTCTTCTTTTACCTTTAGGTAGAATATACTACATTTATCAAACAAATATAGTAGCCTAAAATATTTTTATCAAACACTGTTGAGAATCTAATGAAAGCAATGGACCTTCTCCCCAGGAAAACACATATACCAGTCAAATTTACTATTCCAGGAAATTCTTAGCTATACAAAGAGCATCATTACATTTCATTTTGCGTTGTTATTATTATTTGAGAAAAAGTGTTCATTTATACATAATCATTTTGTACGTAACTTAGCAATCTGTTGTGCAAGTTAAATTCAGGCAATTCATTGAGAAGTAGTTGCTGTATGAGAGTTGCCTGTCGAAGGGCTGCTTTGTAAAACCTAAGCCAGTTTCTTCGTTTTGTTGGTTTTTTGACACTGTCACCAATTTATTGAGGATGCATTACAGGAAGCCACTTATGTGAACTTTTGTTCTGTAGGCATGATTATAATACACTTATTTGCATACAAACATAACAGCAATCATTCTTCTGCCTACTTATTTGTAGCACATACCCTTTTACTAAACTATTATTTTTAAGAATGTATAACTTGTTACCATACAATGCTTATATTAGTGAAATAATTCAGAATATGTGTTTGCTTTGCAGTTCCTAGAGGGCTGCCTCCTCCCCAACCTGTGACAGACAGACCAAATCCAATTATTTAGGTCATGCACAGCTCTTAGGTTCTTTTCGGTAGATACTGGAGGACACAGACAGTTGGAGGTAGGTGAGGCTTAGTTACTCCCCTACAACCTTGTTGCCAGGTTATAATGAAACAAATTCTGGCACCCATGAGAACATTTGTTAGCAAGCCTAGAGGAACAGTATCATAACTGGTTCAGTAAACCAGTTGACCCACATAACTGGTTCAGTAAACCTGTTGAACCACATAACTGGTTCAGTAAACCGGTTGAAGTGCCAGTGTCCTTTTTTGGTGCTACAACAGAACCGTGCTTGAAAGATTTACCTGAAGCAAATGCAACAGTGTTCTACCTGTAGGATTCTGCTGGCCTTTTGGTTAACTCCTTTGACTTAAGAATCCTCTGAACTAGCAGCTGAGGGAAGATTCAGAGCTAAGCTGTTCCTAAGAGTGAAGGACTTGCTAACATATATTCTTATTCAAATGAATAGTACTAAAATGTTTTAGCTAATCCAGTATCTTAAACACTGCTAATGAAAATCCATTTCTCATATTCATTATGCTAGATAAAAGTTAGCTGAAGTGCTTAAACCTTGGAGTATGGCTTTTGATCAAATGCTAACTGACTTTTAACTCGGAAGTGTTGACATTCCCAGATGGACAACTGACTACCCCTAGGGTATAGACCAAAACGTGCACAGGTATATCATAGTATCTATGCTGAAATGTGTCAAAGTGAATCACGGGCCATCTGATCCCACCTATATTTTTATACTGCAGTGTTAGCATTTACAAATTTTTGTAGCCTCTTCTCCCTTCCTTTTTCACTGAAGTTACTGGTTTCGGATGTCTACCTGACTACCTATCTTTCTTTTATTCTTCCTATTCAAATTTTTATCTTGTATTTTTAAGAAGTAATATATGTTGTTTGAAGAATATATGGAAAATATAGAGAAGCAAACAGAAGAAAAAAATCACCTGCTATCCCACTATTCAATAATAATCATTGTTTATTATATGTTAGAAGTTAAAACCCTTCTGTTTTTCTGTGTATCTACTTACATTAAAAAGCAAAACTTCCAGGATCTTATTTTATCATCTAACAATCTAACATGGATATTTCCTTGACTCATTAACTATTTAGCAGTGTAGTTTTTAATAGCTACATAAAATTCCATTGTCTGGATAAAACGTAATTTGTTTAAATGTTCCGCGATGCTGCACCTTGAGAGCCTCTCCAGTTCGCTGGGAGGGGCACGGGCAGGCTCTGTAGACTCAGTCCCTTTCTGTCCCCTCAGATCTGGTCCTTGTGTGCCCATCTGTCCTTGGCTGTTAAAATGCCCATCTCTTTTTCTGTCTCTTTAGGTCACAGTTCTTTAATTTAGGTTTTTAAAAGTTGTAATTTTTAGCTTGTCACTAATATAAACCTTCTATTTGGATAAAGTAGGTTAAAAATAACGTTTAGAATTTTTAATACTCTAACTGGATTAATACAATAGCTTGTTTTAAAAATTAATTTTAGGAGTATATATCCTGGGGAAATATGGGCAGAAGAAAATCAGAGAAATGCAAGAAAGGGAGGCTGCAGAATACATTGCCCAAGCACGACGACAATATCATTTTGAAAGTAACCAGAGGACTTGCAATATGACAGGTAAGGCAAAGAGAAATATTTATACCTGTATAAAGTTACTTGATGATTTGCATTAATTTACACACCTCAGGGCCAAAGTTAGAGGAAAAGACAAAGGAAGAATCATAAATCCAGCAAGTATTTACATGATTTAACTGAAATACATCATTTAGTGTGGATTTTAAAAATCACTATAAAGCAATATACAATATAAATGCCTGTTCATTCATTTTATTTATTCATTAGGTAAATGCTGGGGTACCCAGCACTGGGGAAGCAGAGAGTAAACAATAAAAAGAAAAATCTCTGACATTCAGAGTTTATATGTTAATGAGAGAAAAAGATGATAAACAACAAATAAATAACTACAGACAGTGATGGTTCCTATAAATTATGAGAATAAAGCTGTGTGAGAGTGGGGCTAAGACAGGGCAGTCTGAGAGTCAGGCCTCTTTGAGGAGGGAGCACTGGAGGAGAAACCCAACGACACCATGGAGGGATCCAAGCACGATGCCCGTGCTGAGAACAAGCCTGGCACGTTTGAGAAACAGCAGCAAGGCCGTGTAACTGGGGCAGAATGAGCAGTGGGAGAGTGCTTGGAAGTACGGCTGTGGGAGTAGGCTGATCCCATGCGGCCTCCTGTGTCATGGTGCAGAGTCATGAGTTGGTTTAAGTTACAATCGACTGCTAGAGGCCCCTAAGTCCAGCACCAGAGTACGCTCAGTCAACGTTAATTAATGGTAAACCTACTGGGAGGCTGCCAGAGCAGAATCAACTGCCCATATTTGAAGAGGACAAGGTGTTATAGTATAATTGACATAACTCCTTGAGAATTAGTTCTCAAATCCATGTCAAACCTGTTTTTCTTTTTTGTTGTTTAAAAAAGCTTAATCCTTTCTCTAACATTTCTTTCAAGAACAATTAATTTATACAGGTAGGTTCTCTTCAATTTTGAAAGTAAAATTTTTTTCAGAGTTGAAGTGACTATTTTTACTTCATTCTCATTTGACAGGTAAAAAGGCTGAGATTAAGGTTAAGAGACACATCCAAAGTTACAGCTGGAGTATGATTTTTAATGCTTGAAATAATAACACTTCATTCTGTAAAGCAAATAGTGATCGTAAGGACTGTATGTAGCGACAGCTCGGATCAGGCCCCGTGAGTAACAGCCCAGGCTTGAGGGCGAGGCAGATCTGGGTCAGGTCCGCGTGTTGCCGGGGACATCTGTGTGTCTGGGCAAACCTGAACCTCATTCTCTCTTCTGTAAAATGGTCGTCATCACCCCACTTCATAAATGTTTTGTGACAATGTGATGAGGTAATGCATATAAAGTGCTTGGTACTTAGTAAGTCCTCAGTAAATGGTAACTTTGTAAAAATTACATAATTCTTTAAATTGATATTTAGCATTTAATGTGATGCTGCCAAAGATGTTTCAGTGAATTTTTAGAGACTAAGAACAGTCCATTTCTGGTTATTACTCACATTTTCAGAAAATAGAAAAAGGTGTCTGCTGGGGTCTCAAAATACGTCTCAGATTGACATGGACCCGTATGTCAGTTTGGGTGCTCTGGGAAGCAGATGCTAAGATGGGATTCACTGTGCAAGAGACTTACTGGTGGAAACACCTGTGAAGCCTCAAGGGGAAGGAGCAGCAGTAGGCAAGGAGAGTGCAGGTCTGGCCCTTGAATGGAAAAGGATAAGAAGGAAGCTTAGGTGAGAAGAGTCTCCAGCCACAGCACAGTTCCAAGGAAGTTTTGGCAGGCCAATGGGGAGTCCTCAAGCCAGAGTTCCATGGTAGGGGAGTCCCACAGGCGTAGGCCTGTTTCGGTATCCACACTAAGCACTGTCATTGGCTGGGAGCAGTGCAGACACCGTAATGGATCCAGAGGGCTGGCAGCTAAGACTGCCAGTTAACTATGCGCCTCCCTGCAGAAGGTGTGGGTGGCACATTTCCATGACCATCACAACCCTTAGATGAATAAACAGCTGACTATAGGCCATTAAAAATAAAATATGGTCATCACTAGGAGCCAAAATACAGGTTCACTGAAAAACTTTCCAAACTAGCTTTCATGCATTGGTAATGGAGTTACAAATCATATGATTAAATTTCTATCCTTTTGAATAAGGTGTAACAGATATACTAAAAAAATTTAGTACTTTTGGGTAAATATAACGAGTTGTTTTTACCCAAGAAGTTGGTTCCAACTTGAAAGCATCTAATGGAATGCTTTTGTGTCCTGCCCATTGGCTTTATCTTCCTCGTGATTTTACTAAAGATTTGGGAGGAATGCTTATTAAATTTACACACGACACAATGCTTGGTCACATAGCTAACACCACAAATGAAGTTTCAGGATGCAAAATAGGCTTGTCCCATTTAAGTGCTAGACTGAGGTGAATGAATTGTCCTGCTTTAAAAGTCAGTTGTACAGACACAGAGTTATGCAGACTTCCTTGGATTTATGAGTAAGGATTGGGAATTCCAGCTAAGCATAAGCTTGTTTTGAACAAACAGTATGATGTGACTTACAGAAATACTAATTTAGACTACAGTAATAAAAGGTCTGTGGTTCCGATCAAAGGTGGTTGCGGCATGCTTTGTAGTAGTCGAAGTGTAGGTGCGTGTCTGCCTCTCACATGTTTAAGAAGATACAAACTGGAATGTGTCCGAAGAAGCCAAATAAGGGTAAGAAGAAGAAGAGCTAACACGTACTGAGCGTTTCCATGTGTGAAGCACTGTTCTAAATGCTTTAGGTCTCAGTTAATCCTTACAACAATCCTAGAAGGTCGATCCAATGTTATCCTCAGTTTACAGATGAGGAAACTGAGGCACGGAGGAGGCACAGAGAGCTTCAATAATTTGCTCGGGGTTACACAGATTCATAGCTGGTGAAGGGTCATCTTGTGATTTGTGGTTGGACTGGGGATGTTTGTCAGGCAGACCAGGTGGCTAAAGAAAGACATGAATGCTGTATTCAAGTGGATACAGAAACATATTTGTTCAGTGTTAATACAGATGGGTAGAAGAGAACAGACTTGTCTTTGGTTGAGTAGGCTAAAGTGGGAAGTAAAAAGCTCTTCTCTCTCAGGAGAATAATTGAAGAGACTCCTCTCAGACCTTGTTGTTATATACACATCATCTTTAATTCCCTGCTTACTCTGTTTCTGAACGTGGGCCTCTAGCCTTGCTTTTTCTTGGTAAGGTACCGGACCGTGTTTGGGCTCGGTACACATGCCAAGTACACCAAGACATAAGCCACCTTTCCCGTTGGCTCTGAGCTGCTACTTTAGTTAATGGTCTAAATGACTGGTGATTTAATTGTACAGCTTGAGGAATATGCTGAAGCTGCATAATGCAGCGCTGAAGTAAATGTCTAGAATAGGTTAAAAGTTGAATTTTCTGTGGAAAAAATAATATGGATTTTCTAATTAGTATGTCTCGCCTAGTCAAGAAGTAAAAATCATACATTAAAGTTTTCCCTTTTAGAGTGTGGCATTTATGATCTCTTGGTATTTTTTTTCATTTTGTTTTCATTACTTATTTCGTGTTAGAAACTCATTTTAAGTTTATTCATGTGGATTTCTCCATTTCTTATACCATGCATAGAGCCATAAATAAAGTAACTCCTATAATTACATGCAGTCTTTTTCCCCATAGGGTATTATCTCGTCTTTTAAGTTTCTCTTATTCTTGGCAGTTGCAGGCAGTAGCCACTGGCAAAACCAAAACTGCGGCTCAGCAGCTCTTAATTCCTAGCCTGATGCGCTTTCGTCTAGATTATAAAAAATGCTTCTCGCTTTGTAGTATTTAATAAACGTTTTTCTAAAATTAGCAATAAAATAGGAAGCAAAAAGTATGGCTAAAGATAAAAATGTTGTTTTTAATCATTTTATTATATCAGAAATAAACATTTATTGTAAAAAGAAATTGAGGAGTACAGAAGAGGAAAAAGAAGAATTGCCCATAATCCATACCCCAAAGACCACTGTTAACATCTGGGAATAATTCCTCCCATTCTTTCTTCTATGTGTACTTGTCTACATTGTTGTGATCATCGTATATGTATAATTTTGTTCACTTAACATAAGCAGATAAATGGTTTATTAGTATGTAATGTTTTTATTCTTAATAATCATAAGAATTTGAAAACTCTAGCCCTCACCTTCCCTCCCAACCTTTGCTAGCTCCTAAAACAGTGTGCGTGTCTCACTGAGGGCAGTCACGTCACTTGTGACCTTTTTGTTTTCTGTTGGTGTTACAGTGCTGTCCATGCTGCCGACACTGAGAGAGGCCTTAATGCAGCAACTCAATTCTGAGAGTCTCACAGCTCTGCTGAAGAACAGGTAAGTGCGAGCGACGTGTTTTCATTTATACGCCATGCTGAAGGTCCATGGAATGAGCTGAAAGACTTCAGACCTCCTCGCTTCCTTATTTTTCTTTGTAGTTAAAGCTTATAATATACAGGCTGATTTAGAAAAAATATTTACCAACTATTTCACTAAATTCATATTTTTTTATTTTATCCTTTTATTTATGCTACACCTTGAGCCACAAAGTATTTAGGTCAACAATACTTATATGTATTCTGGTTTTCATATAAACAGATCTTGTAGCAGGAATTTGATTGTTGAACGCTTATCGAAAGTGTTGCTGAAACGCGTGATGTAAAGCTGACTACGTTAGACACTGTGCTTCTTAAAGGGCCTGCAATGATAGGGAAAGCCTGTGAGCATCTGTCTTAGATAACGAGGCATATGAACTCACATCTTAGGTTGTTAACGCAGTGAAGTACAGATAGAGCAGGAGCAAACGGCAATGGTGATTTGCCTACAGTGACAGCTTACCGTGGACACAGCGCTCTGACATGGACGCCATGTCTGTCGGGTGCAGTATGTGTTGGGGTATTGTAGTTTAGTATGATAGTGTGTTCATTTGAAAAGACTTCCAGAAGGAAATGGCTTCTTAGCTGAATGAACAAGAAGGGGGGAAATGGTTTCACAAAATAAATTTTCATTACCGTGACCTTACCGAAATAGTCACTTTCCTTGTAATCACCCTCCAGTAGCCAGACGGAGGGAAGTGCTATTTCCGGGAGTCTCTCTCTGCCCATGCCAGTGGTAGATACCTAACATACATGAGCCCATTGAATTTTCACAGTCTCATTGTGAAGCAGATATTATCATCTCTGTTGCAGATAGGAATTTACTGCTAGGACAGGTTAAATAACAAGCTGGAAAATTTCTTTGACAGCATTTTCTACATTCAGAAAATACCTCCCAAAATAGCAATGGATTTGTATACTTGGAATTCTTTAAAATCTGATTAAACTATAGTGCTAGTGATAAGGGTTTTCCCCCCAAATTTCTTCACTCTTAAAAATTGACAGACTTTCGTCACTACTTACAGATGTAAGGTTTAATTTATAAATTAGTTCATATAATTATATGAAAAGAAACATAGAAGTGGATTACTGTCAGTCAAGTAAATGCTTAGTTACCACCTGTATGTATATAAGTAGGATATAAAGAAATATGTACATAAGTAGGAGATAAATAAAAGAAATAGATTTTAATTGCCTTCAGTTTTAGTCTTATTGGGGAGGCAGGACAGATGAAATAAGTGAATAGCACTTTGATAAAAGCAGTGTAATAACAGACCAGTAAACGTAGTGGCATTCTTTCTTTCTTAGTCACTCCGTTTCCTGCTAAGCCCTGTGTTCCCTCTCCTTTGAGGGATTCAAGATCATTAAGATAAAATCTCTTTCCTTTAAAGGCAAAGACTTTGTCATCCAAAGGAAAAAGTAGACAAAATAAATTATCATAATTCAAGACATATTATGTTTAGTCAGTGGTGAAAAGTAATAGGAAAATGTGGGGGGGGAAATGTGAGAGACTGAGAAGACAGAGATTGATTTTGATGCATAATGCTGGACAGCTTTGAAGAAAAGCTGTCATTCCTCTTTTCTGAGTCAATACACGGGAGAATTTCTTGAATTTCTCAGAGTTTACGTGGAGCAACAGTTCTCCTCATTCACTGTTTCCTCTTTAAATATCTCAATGTTATTTTTTCTTGCCTTTCTTTTGATTTGAAATTACTATTTGCAATTTTGGGGGAAAAATGTCCATCTGAAAAGTATTTTCATAGCGAGAGGCTTGAGCCTCTTTACTGTGTGATTAAATAAGGCCTCCAATCTTATGACTGCTTTTGTGTTAGTTTTCAGCCAGCTTTGGTCTCAGATAACCCTGTCAAGCAAGTTAATTTTCTCTTTAAACTAATTATGATAACTAATCAGAAATAAATAAAACTTGATGGTTTTATTTTGTCAGTTTCGTAATAGCAAATAAACCTCGATCACTGTTTTCAGTGCGTGGTATGCTTACTGAAGATTACTGGCGATGAAGTTTCAGTGGTAAAGAATCTTAAACATCCTCCGTCACAAGAGAGGCAGAACACTTTGAAAGGATGAATTTAATTCTTAAACAGATGTTTTAGTGACATTGAGTCCCATATTTAACTCGAGTTGATTTCCATCAGACAAATCATTTGAAAGGAATCTTTGCATAGAAAGTACTTTTCTCTGTTCTTCTACATAGATTTAGAATTGGTGTCTTTAAAAAAATAATGTGAATTTTTTTCACTTTTTTGAAATTGTATACATTATCAATGATTACCGCAATCAAGCTAATTAACATATCCATCACCTCATGTAGTTACCATTTTTGTGTGTGTGGTGAGAACACTTAATACTTACTCTCTGAGCAAATTTCAAGTATACAATGCAGCGTTATTATCAGTACTGCTATGCTGTGCGTTACTCTCCAGAACTTCTTCATCTTATAACTTTAAATTTACATTTGCTTTCAAGGTCTAAATAGGGAAATGTCAACATGAAGAAATGTCTTGCGTGGCTATAGCTCTGTCCCTTCCCGCTAAAGTCACCCCAAATAAATATGTTTCAAGACAAATACTCTAATTTCCATTCTGGACTACTGCTACTAAGTACTTCCTATATTGAAAAAAAAATTTTTTTTGCAAAGAAGATTGGCCCTTGGCTAACACCTGTCACTAATCTTCCTCTTTTTGCTTGAGGACAAGTGGCCCTGAGCTAACATCTGTGCCCATCTTTCTTTATTTTTTGTGTGTGGGTTGCCGCCACAGCATGGCTTGATGAGTGGAGTAGTCCACACCCGGGATCCGAACCCGTGAACTAGGTTTGCTAAAGTGGAGTACACTACCCCACCAGGGCAGCCCCCCGTATTGAAGTTTTTAGAAACAACATTTTCCTATCTTTTTTCATTTAGAGTTCTATAAAAAGCACTTCGAAATTGTTCTGGGGAAACATTCACAAGAAAATGTGATTTACTTGCCATAAAATACCTAAGCCTTGCATTTTGGTTGATTCCCAGTTTAATCGGAGTAAATATGACATTCCACAACAAGGCTTGAACAGTGGTTTGTGATTGAGGGGCACCTTGTGGGCTTTACTCCATATGTCTTCTGAACCTGTGCCGTCTAGGAAACCTGAAGTTCGAGAATCTGTTCAGTGGCAAAGAAAGATAAGAAGTGAGTAATATACCACAATTGTAATGGTAACTCAACTTCTTGAAGTTAAATTTGCGTCTGAATATAATAATATGGAATATGAGCTTGTATTTTAAATATCTGTTTTTTAAATTTCTTTTTTCTAATAATTTATTTCATTGTGTTTTACAAAAATATTGGTCCATGACAGATTGGAAATAGGAAAGAAAAAAAAACTTTTCCCTCCACATAGGTGGTTTGAAAAGCACTGAAATCCATCAACAGAGTACATCCACACAATGGAGTACGTGCCATAGTTAGGGAAAAAGATAGCTATCATCTGTATACTTCTATGGAATAATCTCCAGGATGTATTATTATATTTTTTTAAAAGGTGAAGAAAAGTGTGTATAGTTTGCTACCATTTATCTAAGGAGGCAGATATGAATATATATACATATCTGTTTATATAAAGCAAAACAGTGACAAGCTAAAGTATGTTTTTTTAATAGTCACCTATGAAAAAGGAAGAGAATAAGGGATGATAGGAACAGACTTCTTTGAATATTTGACTTTGGAATTTTACATATTTATAAAGCTATATTTAATGTTTAAAAACCAATGTCTAAAAATTGACGGTAAAATAAATCAAATTAACCTAAATGTGTATGTAGTTGGTGGTATAATCACAAAGACAGAAACTCTGCCAGACTCAGAAACTCAGGCCTTTAAAACAGAAATTTGATTGTATATTCTTAGTGGGATATATACTCTTAGAGTACACAGAATTGAAAAAACAAAACTTTAAACTCTTTCAGTGTTGCTAATGCTATTCTGAGACTGTTGTGCATAGAGTTAGGGATGAAGCACGTTAGTAATTAGGTTGGTTTCACTGATTTCTAGTGTAGACAAACAGAAATACAGATGTAAGATCAGTGAGATAAAATTAAAAACCCTGTGGTCCTAATTTTGAATTAGAAGTATCAATATGAATTCATGATGTATTTTATCTCTTTGAATACATGTCCATTAAATAAATAAATACATGCATACATATTTACTAGCTTAGTCTACTGAAAAGGCTTAGAAATAATGACCTACCTAGTAGCAATGAGTATCCTAATTAAAGGTTTCAGCCCCAGAATACCATGTCCCGCTACAAGGAGCCAGGACTCTTGGAGAAATGAATGATTTCAGGTCTGCAGCAAGAATTGAAGAAGATGAACCCAGAACAGCTTTTCATGTCAGTAAGCAAGGAAGCTGTCAAAGGCTAATGGGGTCGTGTCAAAAGGACTCAGAAAGCAACCTGAATAGTCCCTTCAGTAGTCAAAGATGGGTAATGGATCATCAGTAAGAATATTATCAATAAGATACTGAACATCAATAAGAATAATAACTACACTGGGTCGAAACACATCGAATATATATTTAAATTCATGTGTTTGTAATGATACTTTAAAACAAAAAGTGCTTAATTATCTACCTTTGAAGGATTACAGGACCTACTTCATTATTTGTAAAATGGTAAATGAGAGAAAGAAATAGACATTTTTCCTGCTTTTCCTAGATGATTTTATAATACGTATATGTGTATGCTCTGAAGGAGGATAAAGACTGGAAGGATCTATACCAATGTACTAATGAAAATGGTTGTTATCATTGGTTACTGAAATTGCAATTGGTTTTTACTGTATTTTGTGAGCTTTGTGTTCTGCAGGTATCCTGTAATAAAAATTTTTTTTTTTTTTTTTAAGGAAGATTAGCCCTGAGCTAACTACTGGCAATCCTCCTCTTTTTGCTGAGGAACACTGGCCCTGAGCTAACATCCGTGCCCATCTTCCTCTACTTTATATGTGGGACGCCTACCACAGCATGGCTTTTGCCAAGTGGTGCCATGTCCACACCCAGGATCCGAACTGGCGAACCCTGGGCCGCCGAAGCAGAACATGCAAAGTTAACCACTGCGCCACAGGGCTGGCCCCTAAAATATAAATTTTTTTTTTTTTTTTAAGATTTTATTTTTCCTTTTTCTCCCCAAAGCTCCCCGGTACATAGTTGTATATTCTTTGTTGTGAGTCCTTCTGGTTGTGGCATGTGGGACGCTGCCTCAGCGTGGTTTGATGAGCAGTGCCATGTCCGCGCCCAGGATTCGAACCAACGAAACACTGGGCCGCCTGCAGCGGAGCGCGCGAACTTAACCACTCGGCCACGGGGCCAGCCCCTAAAATATAATTTTATACAGCTGTGAAGTTCAAAGTTTTCTGTTATGTTACCTGATTATTATTTTCATATTTTCTGATTTTTTTCTTTAGGCCTTCAAACAAGCTAGAGATATGGGAGGATCTGAAGATAATAAGTAAGCCTGCATATTCTGTGTGACAACACATCCTTAAAATATTTATAAAGGGAAATCTTTTTACTCCGATATATGGATGACTTTTCTTTACCTCGTAGAATTGTCAGGATTAAATAGTTCTTATAAAGCAAGTAGATCGGTACCTGGTCATAGAAAGTACTCAGTGTGTGTTAGTGGTGGTGGTGGTGGTGGTGTTATTGTTATTGTTATGGTAATAGGTAAACCTGTTCTAGAATACACACACCTGTGTTAGGTACTGGTATCTGCAATGTTATCCTTCAAAGGAAGTTTTTACTCCAAGCCAGATAGTAACTTTACTTTGATATTGTATGCAAACTTTCATTAGTGATAAAAATTTGAAACGAAACATACACCCTGGGGTGTATGTATGTGTGTGTGCTTGTGTCTATATATGACACACCCATGTCTCAGAGCTTTGTACCATCAGTTATTCCTACGTTTTCGCATCCCTTCACCTAATCCTTAACTGAATCATGCTTAAGCTTTGCCTATTTGAAAGGAAATTAAACCTTTCTAGTACCGTGTCTTTCCTCAGCTTTTGTACTTTCTCACACCCCTTACATAACACCAAAGATTTCTACATTCCCTTTTATTCACTCCCACTCACTTTCCGCACACTACAGCCTGGCTGTGTCTCTAGCCAAGCAGATCTCGCGAGTATCATTAGTAACTTCTGTGTTGCTGAATACACTGGACTTTTTCCTCCTGCTAGACCTCCCGGCAGCAGTCAACACCTTTGCCCTCTCCTCTGTTTTGAACGCTCTGTCCTAGATTGCTCTGAAGCCTAATCTCCAGGTGGGCCCTGTCTTTTTCTGTCTGCCTCCAGCTGTGCAATGCTCATCCTCCTTACCTGCTGTTGAAGGCTCAGGCTCAGCCCTCTTTTGCTCTGAACCAGCTCCCTGGGCAACTCCGAGTTCTCAGCCTGCAACCTCTTGGTGCTTCCCAGTCCTGTCTTGTTTTCCTTTCTAAGCTAGTAATATATAACACTTTACTCAATATATTGGTCATTGTTTTTATCCGTAGTTGTTTCATTTGAGAGATCATACCCAATTTTACATTAAACAAGTTGTAAGGAGATAGACTATGAAATATTTTGAATTGCTAAATTTTTGTGCTTGAAACAGTTACAAATGTATTTTTAAAGTCATCTTATGAAAAAATAACCATAGGGATGGTTCATGATTTAACATTTTTGTGTTTTAATAATAGTACCAAATGATTTTCTTTCCTCCATGAAGGTTTCACGAGAAGTATCGTGGCTGTATACAGTACTTGTATGCTGGTTGTTCTGTTGCGAGTCCAGTTAAACATAATTGGTGGATATATTTACCTGGATAATGCAGCAGTTGGCAAAAATGGCACCGTAAGTTTAATAGGCTTAAATAGATACTGCCCTTTCAAGAGGTTCAGAATTTAACCAAATATTATTTATCCTGATAATTTCTATAAAATAAATATCTTTATGTTTCATGTGACTATAAAATTTTAGCATTATTTTTCATATTTTGAAACTGGGCTTTTTACTATGTTAAAGAGTTATTTTTTTGTATGGTGACAGATGGAAACTAAACTTTTGCTGGTGAGCACAATGCAGTCTGTACAGAAGCCAAAATATAATGATGTACACCTGAAATTTACACAGTGTCATAAACTAGTGTGACCTCAATAAAATGATTTTTTTTAAAAAGAATATTATTTTTCCTATCATTCCAGGTCCTGATGTCTCAGTTCAAGTTATATTGAAAACATTGCTTTTTTACTAATATTAGGTAATTTAACCTTACTTCTATTTTGTACAGACAGTTCTTGCTCCCCCAGATGTCCAACAGCAATATTTATCAAGTATTCAACACCTCCTTGGAGATGGTAAGATTCTTATTTGTGACCTATTAACTAATTTTAATTCATTCATTTGTATTATTGAGGAATTTAAAAAGTGAACAAGGCTTTTATGTTTGTTTTTCCTTTAATAGGCCTAACAGAATTGATCACTGTCATTAAACAAGCTGTGCAGAAGATTTTAGGAAGGTAAGGCATTTTGCTTTGGCTTTTCTGACTTCCTGATTCTGATGAATAAAAGAAAAATTAGAGTTGTTCTAGTGAAGCTGGTTACTTGACACATGGTGGTTTGTGAAATCCTTTGTAACCTGGGATATTGCACTATGGAATCTGTTTTCTTAGTGTCAACCTTTTGATAGTAAGGGAAAGTTTTGGTGTTTCATTGTCTGTTGAGTAATTTCCAAACAAACCAGAAATATTTGGGTCATGAGATAAAAGACCTGCTTTAAAACCCGTATATGAGGCTTTTGTCGCCTGTTTGTACGAGTAATATCTGTCACTACAGTGGAAATTTTGTTGTGAAATCTACAGCAAGGTTTTTGTTGGCTCTGTAATTATACCCTTAATTGATGGCTGATTTCTTAATCTACTCTAGTGATTTCACAATTAGCAGTTTCAGGTTTGACTGGACGAAATAGAATCTCAGAGAGTAACGTGTTAGGAAAAGAATGTGTATAGGATGTGTTATGTAGTTTCAATTTATCCCAATTCCCTTTTCTCTGTTTCTAGCATTTCTCTTAAGCATTCTTTGTCCCTTTTGGACTTGGAGCAAAAACTAAAAGAAATCAGAAATCTCGTTGAGCAGCATAAATCTTCTTCTTGGATTAATAAAGATGGATCCAAATCTTTATTATGCCATTATATGATGCCAGATGAAGAAACTCCATTAGCAGTTCAGGTGCTTAATTCATAACCATTTAACCAAACGAATTACTCTCTATTTTTAAATTTTTTTTTTTTAATATCTCTTGAAATTTAGATTTCTGAGTCTCTTGAAAGGTAAGCGATTTAAGGACATGTATTTGAATAATTTAAATAAAACTTCATTAATTTAGAAAGCAAACTGCAAATACGACTGATTTCTAGTTAGAAACATTTATAATTTTAGATATTTAGTCCATTGTTATTGAGTATTAGTTATATGACAGACACTATCATGTATGATTGGACTATAAAATGAAGAAGATGTGTTCATTCCACTGGGGAACCCAGGAGACCAATTCACTTCCTGTGGCTAGAGCTTGTTTGTATGAGATCAAGGAGCAGAAGATAGAGCTGAGAGTTGAGGCAAGATCATGCAGAGCTTTGTATGCCAAGGTAAAGAGTCTGAACTTCAATTTATAGACAAAGGTAATTTTAATCAGCCAGGACCATTATCACATTTGCTTTTTAAACTGAATCAATGATGGCAGGATCAAAATGGACTGAACAAAGTTGCAGTCATCCAGTGGAGAAAGAAAGAAGGCCTAATCTCACAATTATCAGCCGTGGTGTTGCTATACACCTGTCCTGGGCAGTTGTGATTTAAGTTATTCATTGGTTGAGAATAACAAAAATGCCAAAGATTGCAGATTACATATCTCATTTTAAAATAATTTTTGGGTTTTCTCATATATGAGTGGATTGCACCCATTCTTTGCAGTTGCGAGAAGAATCTCACTCGACAACTGGAGAAGCCTTAGACCAGAGAGGCCCCATGCCATATCTCAGCATAGGAGCCCCGTTAGAACAAAGATGGCCGTGTTTTTCATCGCCTGCAGGATTCCTCCTCCCCAGAGACCCCCAAAATAGACCTGTTTGAGTGCTGAGAGACCTACATTCATGAGTAGGCCCAAAGAAGTTGCAGCCAGTTCAGGGACCCCTGTGCCCTGCAGGATGGAGGCTAAAGTGAACAGGCAGAGCAGATGAGACAGAATTCGTGAAAAAAGCAGGAGAAAACTTGCAAATTAGAACCTCAAGGAGATGCAGTACCAGTATTAAAAAGCTTTCTGTAATGTTAAAACAATTTCCAAATTCTAAAATTCAACAGTGGAACTAAAAAAGAAAACGATTCAAAGCGAATGAATGATGAGGTGAAGAGAGGAATGATGGACCGGATCTTACCTGAATTGAATTAAACCTGAAACTTCAGATTGAAAGGACTCACAGAGCCCCAGACTAGACTAGATTGATTCAAAAAGACACAGACATATTCTGATACAATGTCTTACCAATAAAAGAAAAAAAGGCCCAGGCCTCTGCAACCTCGAAGAAAGACTGTTTATTTCTTTGTTAAATGTATTCTAGAAATGTGTTCAAGAGGGACCAGATAAACAAAGATATTAAGAAGTATAATTTTACTCTAATGTTTTAAATGTCACTTACACATGAACATTTACAGTTTTTGTTAATTTTACATTTTTTGTTTTTTTGTTTTTTGAGGAAGATTAGCCCTGAGCTAATATCCGCCACCAATCTTCCTCTTCTTTTTGCTGAGGAAGACTGGCCCTGAGCTGACATCCATGCCCATCTTCCTCTACTTTATATGTGGGACGCCTGCCACAGCATGTTGCATGGGTCTGTGCCTGGGATCCACACCAGCGAACCCCAGGGCACCGAAGCAGCGCATGTGAACTAAACCACTGCGCTACTAGGCCAGGCCCTTGAATTTTACCTTTTTTGATTGTTGATAGAAAAAAGACATAGATTTCCTGAACTCTTGTTCATATGATTAGTTTCACATAACCCTGTGCTAATATTTGAAACCCTGAAGTATGGCGTTTTAATTTCACAGGCCTATGGGCTTTCTCCTAGAGATGTCACCACTATTAAACTACTCAATGAAACCAGAGACATGTTGGAAAGGTATGTATACTGCATGTAGCAGAAAACATGTGTTTCTATTTTGAATGTACTTATGACCATTCATTAGTTTTCCTTGAACTACTTATTCAACATAATATTTTGTTAATGGGGCCGGGCCTGTGGCCGAGTGGTTAAGTTCGCACACTCTGATTCGGTGGCCCAGGCTTCGCCGGTTCAGATGCTGGGCGCGGACATGGCACCGCTCATCAAGCCATGCTGAGGCAGCGTCCCACATAGAACCAGAAGGACCCACAACTAGAAAATACAACTATGTACTGGGGGGCTTTGGGGAGAAGGAAAAAAAAAAGGATTGGCAATAGATGTTAGCTCAGGGCCAATCTTTAAAAATATATATATATGTATTTGTTAAAGTTAAATTTTGAATCTATTCCTCCACCTTGAGGTAGGATTTCCTTCCTAAACTGGTGGTTCTCTTATTAGGGTAAGGAGGGAAGCAGAGACTTTTTTCAAGATACCCATGACTTGCCCACCTACTTCCTTGGCCTAGAGATTCTGATATACTAGTTGAGGGACTGGACGATAGTTAGCATTTACATTTTGAAAGAAAAGCGCTTTCAAGGGTGATTCTGGTATACCTAGTGTATACTAGTAAATGTTTAACAACCAGCCTTATAAAAAAAAAAGCAGAAACTGACATTGTAGCTGCAGCGGTTCTGACTGCCAACTTGAAGTCACTCAGTGCTGAACTGGGGAGTTGGGAAAAGATGCTCTTTCAAGCTGGAGCTAGCCAGCTCCTGCTAATCCTCATGTATGTGCACACATGTACACATGCCAATGTGTGTACACACACACGGAAACACTCAGTTTTGAGAACTACTCCCCCTAACCCTTTCAAGATAGACTAAAATGTTCTTAAAACTTTGACTGATAAAAATTCCACGTCTTCCCTATATTGGGTGTTACTATTTTAAATCACGCAGAAGAGAGCCAGGATGTTAAAAATGGAAAAAGCACCATACTATGCGTTAGAAGGCCGGAAGACCTAGATTCAGGGATGGCTCTCCTGCTTATTAGCTGTTCAGCCTTGGTTGAACCACTTATGCTCTTTGAGGTAGTTTCATCCTTGTAAAATCTGAGTAGTAATATCAGTCTTACCCACTTTATCTTAAGTGATTAAAATATCAAAGTTTCTTTTAAATTAAAGATAATTTAAGATCATTTTCTCCAGTTGTGTTTTTTAAGGAAATTATATCCTCTGCTTATAATATTTTTCATGATCTCGAAGAAAATCAGCAAATTTTTAAGTTAACTCAGCCACTGAATCTACTGTCTGAATTCCTCAGGTTCTGGTCCCTTGACTTTCTACAGTAGTGATCTCGAGTTTTTTTCTTATTCAGGTTTCCACCAAATCGCTCCATGAAGCTCTACAAAAGGTCGTCAGTGATCTTTTGCCAAATTCAGTCAACCCATAATATTCATCTTACTTGATAACTGGTCATCTTTCACTGATAATTGACACTGTTGATCAAGTCTTTCTTGAGATTCTTTTCTCACATGGCTTCCATGACAATGTAATCTCCTAATTTTTTTTCCCAATTCTCGGGTCATTTCTTCTTAGGTTCCTCTCTGTCTTTCCTTTAAACATTAGTGTTTCTTAGATATTTTTTCTTACTTCATCCTCAGCTGCCCCAAGCAATTTTATATATTCCGATTGCTGTAACTACTGTCTGTATGCCAATAATTCCGAAATTTGTAGCCCTAACCCTCCGCTCCCGTGAATTGGTCTGGATTGAGATTTCTACATGTCAAAGATAGAACTCATCTGTTCAGCTAGGCATTCTCTAACTTTCATAGCACACTGTATTGTTCTTTATACCAAAGAGTTTTTGTGAGGTACTAACATGATATAATGAAAAGAGCTTGAACTATGAGATCAAAAGGGCCTGGGTTCAAATTCTAGCTCCCCCATTTACTAATTATATACCTTTGAACAAATGTCTTCATCCCTCGAATACCCAGGTCCTCCCTCACCTGTATATGGTGATAAAATTGTCTGTTTCACGGGGATGTCATAGTAAAGTATAGAAAACAAACCAATAATCTCTGACTCTACGGGGATTCCTCTTCAAGAGTTTTGTCAAGAGAAGTAACACTATTATTGATATTTTTAAAAATATGTTGTACAAATTGCTGAATAATGTAAGAAAGTCTAGGGAAATGGATGAGTATTCTCATTGTGTTGTGCTAAATAATAAGCTCACTTTTGTGCTTAATTTTTAAAGATTGACTCCTTAATGTATTTGTATAGTGTTATGCTAAAAACTAGATTGTGACTAGAAACATTGGTGGCTGTCGAAGGTAACCACATAGTCACTGAAGTTATTTCCTTTTCCACTGACAATCTAAGAGGTGACTTACCCCTCTTGTTTTGTGTAGTCCAGATTTCAGCACGGTTTTGAGCACCTGTCTGAACCGTGGTTTCAGTAGGCTGCTGGACAACATGGCTGAGTTCTTTCGGCCTACTGACCAGGACCTGCAGCAGGGCAGCTCCATGGACAGGTGAGAGGACGCGAAGATGCTGCCAGTTTAGGGAAGGCTCTCACAAATAGTGCTTTGCATGTGTTTATGTTTCTCCAGGAAACCAAAAAATCTTAACAGATAAATTTGAATGCCCATTTTTCAGCAAATTAAACTGTTAAGCCAATGATTTTTTCATTAGTAAAATCTTCTGGATTCAATATTAAAACTTTGATTTCTTCCAGAAATTTTGCCACTATATAGAAATACTTAAGTTATGAAGCTACCTTTGTATAGTCCAAGTTCCAATTATTGGGCTTTTTTTAAAACTTTTTAAAATACAAACCTGAAAATGTGTTTAAGTTTTAATATGTTCTCTAATATCATTCCAGTACTTCAGCCGTGACTGGCCTGTGGTCCCCAGTTGAATACTGTGGTCATTATGGTAACCAGGCATCCTTGTTGTAGATTTCCATTTGATGAATTATCTCCTAGTTCCACAACCACATGAATGTATCCATTTCCAGCCTTATGGTAGGATTGGGAACATTTAGTCAGTGTAGTTGTTAGTAATGTTAATCATAACTATGACAAAATCATGAATTTGTGCTGCCAAAAGGTATCTTACACTTTTATTATATCCTTGTCATCTCAACATGAGCTCCTGGGGTCTCCTATTAGAATGTGCACTCTTTAAGAACTTCTTTTTTGCAGTTTTTTATATATTAAACTCAGAAAATAGTAGGTACTAAATCAATGTTAACTGACAATAAACTCATCCATTAAAATAAGGGGAAACAGATGTATGGTGACCAATAAAAACTAGACTGTTGATGGTGAACACGATGCAGTCGATACAGAAACTGATGTATAATAATGTACACCTGAAATTTGCACAATATTATAAGCCAATATGACCTCAATAAAATTTTTAAAAACATTAAAAAGAAAAATAAGGGGAAACTAACTGATAGGCACTATCTGTGTGCAATATCCAATTTAATTCTTAAATACAGGGGGCAAGAGATTATTTGATCAATTCTCTGGCACCCTTCTTTATGGTACAAAAAAGAATAATTTCCAGTTAACATCGAGGGTTTGGAATGCTTAGAGCCATAAAATTTATTTTCTGAAGCAATTTAAATATCATCCTAAAATCTTTGTAAGCAATTTGTTTAAATTATACAAAAATAAATTTTAGTCCCCATATACTCCCTAAATCAAGGTGCTCCAGTTAATAAAATTTCACTATCATCTCTACTTAGTGAGGTATTAGTATTTCCTGAGTGGTGATAAACAGTTGTAGTAGTTGTTTTAACATAGAACAAATACTTGATCTTATACACTGAAGAATTCTAAGAATTGCTTTACAACCACATCAGCCATGGATTGTCTTCCTTTTCTGAACTCCAGTAGTACTCATTATCTGTACTTTCATATACAACCTACATGTTTCACCTTCAACTGGAGTCTTATTCCTCAGTTATCTTTTAAACCTTCTCCCAGAGTCAGAGACTAGCTTATGCCGTTTCATATTTCATTACACACACTAGGTACTCAGTAGATATTTCCTATCTAAGTTGTTCCTTTTCATGTCAATGACCACTTCATGATCCATGGTTCAATACTAGAAACATTCCCATTATGCCTCTTGTCATTCCTATTGTTTAACATGTCAACATGTCATGGAAATTCTAGCCATCACAGTAAGTCAAGAAAAAAGATTTTTAACTATTGACAAAGGGACGAAATATCATTAATTATGTGTACTACAATTAATAATCCAGAACCGTCAAGAGAATCAACTGAAAAGTGATGCAAACTAATAAAAGCTAAAATTATGTATATAGGTGTGTATTATATATGTATATATTCATGTATATATTGTATATATAACATGCATATAATGTATGTATAATAAATATTTAAAAATCAAAGGTTTCCTATCACTAGTAATAGCCTAATAGGAAATATAATGGATAAAGGATAGGACTTAAAACTATACGGACTTGAAGTATGACTATAGATGTAAGAATCCTAAATAAAATATAAGCAAATGAAATCCAGAAATATATAGCAACAATAATAGCAACCAGTACTTCCTGTTTCCATGTGCAAATGTGATGATAGATATCTTTCAGAACGTTATCTCATTGAATTCTTAAAATAACTCTAGGAAGTAAGTACTAGGATCTTACTCTTTTTACCGACGAGGAAACTAAGACAGAGAAACATTAAATAACCTGACGTCAAACAGCTAGCACGTAGTAAAGCCAGATGTTCAATCACTTCTATCTCACCTCAGAGCCTGGAATTTTTAATTATTCTCTAACACTGTGACTAAGTAGGGTTTATTTTAAGAATGCAAGGAAGATTAAACCATTAAAACTATTACAGTAGTCCATAACATTAATAAGTTAATAGCACAAAAAAGAAATATCATCTTCAGTGTTGCTAAAAAGGAATTCAATAAAACTTAACATTTATTATTGATAAAAACCTATTCTACAAATAAAAAATGCTTTTTTATATAATAAAGAATATTTGAAATCAAAAGCAAATATCGTACTTAATGGAAAAACACTGAAATTATTTCCATTAAATTCGAAACAATATAAAGATGGTCACTACTGACATTTATTCAGCATCATTGTATTATTCTAACCAATGCAATAAGGCCAGTTGAAACGACCAGTTTTGAGAAACAAGTTCAAGAACGCCATTAATTTTTATATATTTTATTTTGCAAATAGACAACTTACTGAACATGTAAGGAGGAATAAAGGGCTGAGAATATTCAAGAAATTATTGAAAAAGTAGAGCAATGAATGTACTTTCTGTGTAGAACGTATAAGGTGCAGTTATTAGAATAATATGTTACTCATAAAAGATAAGTCAATGGAATAGGATATAAAATCCAGAAACAGGCTCTAAAATATACAGGATATTAGGATATGATGAACGTGAGGAAGAGATATATTATTTAGTAAATGATAAATAATTAGGTTTTTTTACAATGACTAATTGTAAAATGATGATAATAAAGTTAGAGCCCTTCTGTACCATACATAGAGCAAAAAAAGAGAAAAATCCCAGGAGGTTTAAACAAGAACATAAATGAACTGCTAGAAAACACGTGAGTATTTGTCTGATCTCAAGATGGAGAAAGTCTTTCTAAGAATGAAAGTAAAGAACTTTAAATAAAGAAAATGATAGGTTTGACTTTAAAATTTAAAACTTATAGATCAAACAAGTTTTATTAAACTTATAATCAATATGAAATGCAAATTATGTTGGGGAAATGTTTGCAAACTATATATGTTAGGCCAAGAGTTTAATAGCATTATATACACATTGGTTAAGGAAAGAAACACTCGAAGAAAGATATGATCATAGACACAGATAATTCACGAAAGAGCAGATAGAAATGGCCAATTTGTCCGCTCATCTGACATCTGTTTATGGGACAGCTGCTGTTATGAGGCACTGTCCTAGGTCTCTGTCCTCATGGCTCTTACGATCTAGTAGGAGAAATAGATAGTAAACATGATGGTATCAACTCTAAGTGTCATGAAGGAAAAGAACATCGAACATGTAATACAAGTATTTGAACAAACATGGAAAGTCAAGCAAGGTTCCCTAAGGAAATCATTTGAACTGGGAACTAAAAGATAAGCAGCTATGAAATGCGGCCTTGGACTGGAGTGAGGGAGTTGACATTCAGGGCAGAAGCCTCAGGGCAAAGACTGAAGCCAGGAGGACCCAGGTGGATGGAACTGGGAAAAGAATGGTGGGAGATGAAGTGGGAGAACTCAGCATGTACAGATTCTGGTTGTCAGCTCGCAGGTGTGGGGAGCCACTACAGAGGTGGCAGCAGAGTGACTTGGGATTTACATGGTAGGACCACTTTGCCATTGTGGAGAACGAACTGGGAAGGTGGAAGTTGGGGTGGGACATGACAGTGGATGAATGAAGACTTTTATTAGTCGATTCAGCAGGTGTGTATTGAGCACACACTGTGCACCAGGCCTTTTAGTAAGTGCTAGGATAATACCGTGAGTAAGGTAGACATGGTACCCAACCTCACAGACCTTGTATGATGGTGGTGTCTTCAGTTTCTGTTGAAGACAAATTCACTCATATATAAAGAGAGCATCCAACAAGTAAACAAACTTCATGACAGATTTTGAAAAATGCTACAAAGGTACTATGAAGGAGAAGAATGCCTGATTTCTTCAGGAATACATAAATCTCCCCACTTCCTTTTTCCTTTTTAAGCACTCTCTCGAATCTCAGCATAGCATACTGGTTAGACACCATAGCTTCAGCATATACGTGATATTTAAAAGGAAACTTCCGGTATAGCTCCAGCTTTAAATGTATGAAGTATGATATTTAAAGTAATAAACCTAAGTCTACAACCCACACACAGAAATTACTTTCATCATTTAACAGTCGTTATATCATACATAATCACACAATACATTGATTCATTTATTCATCCAGCATGTTTACTGAGCACGTAGAAGTTAGGTTATTGTTGGAGTCCAGACGAGATAAGGCTTAGCTGGGGCTAGGTTTGGCAGTGGGGAAAAGTAGACACATTTAAGAAATAGTCAGGATTGTGGAGAGAGCGGCTATAGGCAGGGAAAGGAAGTGCCAAGGATATAATGCCCAGGTTTCCTGCTTACACAACCAGATAGATAATAGTACAGTCCACTGGAAGAGAGGAAGTAACATTCAACATTGCCAGCAATTAAGAGAAATACAGACTAAAACTGGGAGATACTATTTTAGCTATCAAACATTAAAGGAAAAGATAATGCTTGATGTAGAAAGAAGGCATGATAGAGCAAGTATTCTCACACTGCTGGAGAAGCAGAGGGCATTTGGCAATATACATTTTAAACCTAAAAAAATTCATACCCTTTGATCCAGTAATTCCATGGTAATACAAAGAGTTATTTATATTAAGGAAAATTAGGCAAAAACTCAAATGCCCAACTCTGGGGAGCTGATGATGTAAATTATCACACCTGGAGAATGGATTACTACATAATCATTAAAAAAGAGACAAAAACTTTGGAAGAACTTTTAATAAGATGGAAAAATGCTTATAATATATGAATAAAAATGCAGAACAGTATTGCTTGGGAGGTTACAGTTGTATGTTAAAAAACACAAAAGCATAGATATGTATAAAAATTACTGGAAGAAATTAACAATGATGTCAATTATAGTTATTTCTAGGTGGTAAAACTGTGTGATTTGTATTTTTTTATTAATACATTTCCGTGTTTTTCAATGACCATTTATTACCATTATAATTAAAATGTTAAATTCCTGTAAGATAATTTCAGAAAATAATTATCACTGTCATGATTTTTTAGTCTTTCCAGTGTCAGCCTGCCTTTAGCTAAGATAATTCCCATAGTAAATGGACAGATCCATTCAGTTTGCAGTGAAACACCTAGTCATTTTGTTCAGGTAAGAAGAAAGTTTGGGAATATTTTTAAAAACAGATTGTATTTTTGGTTGTTTTCCTGTTTGTCTAACATAAAATTACGTTTCTCTTCTGTGATACTTGCTCAAAAAAACCAAAAAGTTGAAACCACATGTAGAGTGTGACCCCAGGAGAGTCACACTGTGTTGTGGCAAGTTTCTGAGGTCGGGAATACCCTTCTCCAGGTTACGGTCCAGCACCTGGTAGACTGCGTCTTAGTCCCGGTCCGTTCTAGTGGTCAGTTGAATTTACAGTGTTCATGTTTTGCATTAAGCTGTGCTAGTAAGAAGAGTGAGCCTTGATCTGGATCAGAGATCGCGTTTCTCAAGTTTTGAGGAAGACTAAAAAATTTTTGTGGAGAAATAAAGCATTTTAATGATAAATATAACTACTAATAGTGCACTGATAATCTGCTCACTAAAAGCTGCATAGACAGTAGATTATCTAAATATTTCACTAGACTTCCTGTAACTCCATCTTTTTTCTTAGGAAAGCATTTCAGTGTGTTTAGTAAGACTTATGTCATTAAAAGGATAACTTTGAATTCACATAGTTTTTTTTTTTTTGAGTCGTTTGCAAACTCGGGAACTGTATTATAACTGAAAACTTACTTGCAGTAATTCCACACTGCTGCAATAACGTGCAGTGAGAAGGGACCGTAAGGCCTCAACACGAGATGGCATGGCCTTAGTGCCGTTTGTCTCAGACCAGTTAGAACATCTCTGTGGATTTTCTACTCGGGAACGTCAGGAGCTCTGAGACTACAGTTGTATTTCTTCCTTTCTCTGTTTAGTGCCGTTAGCTAGTGCTTCGCATGCTTATTCCCCCACTGTTCTCTTCAGTCTGCTCTGTCATCTTTCTCACCCGTGGGAGTTAGGCATTCATGTTGCAGAAGGAAGAGTGAATAAGGCTGCTCTCATCTCACTTCATTTTAAGGTTAATTTAAGCTCAAATTTTTTTAATTAAAAATCTTAGTTTTAAATTTTTAATTAAATTTTAATTTAATTTCCACACATGTATCAGTGTGAGAAAAGGTTGTAACTTCTGGCGTTTAATCTGTAACTTTACCTTTCTCCAATTTCATGAGAGTCTCTGGCTTTGTTATGGGCTGTTCATCTTACAAGTGGGCAAGGCAATGGAGCATGGTAACGCTAGCGTTAGTGTGTAAGCATTCATGTGCCACATTAATTAAAGTTGGTATAATTGATAAGGAAAACAAAAGGTTTCAATCTAGTAAAAACACCATTGATACTGATGTTTAGTAAAGTGTTTAGTGTGGCTGGATGTAGGTTAAATTGATAGGCTAGACCATTAATTGACAAGACCTCCACCAATTTTTTTAACTATAATTTCTATAAATTAAAATACCAAGTGGTCTCCCGAGAATGTAAGCATGAATTTGTTGAGATCAAGATTTGCATAAAGGTCACATGGGATTTCTGATATTTAAGAAAAAGAGAACACAAGGTACAGGTCCACTTCCTGTTTTTCTGACGCTCTCAGGAGCACTTAACTGCTTCTGTGTCGCAGATCCTTTCCCAGTCTGGTGAAGCCTACGTGCCCCTTCTCAGAAGAATGTCTCTAGATGCATATTGTAAAATACGTAGGTTTTAAAGAAAACCAATTAGACACAGTTTTCAAAATAATTTTTTAAATTAAATTTATGATGTAGCAATATTGCTTCTTTGTCATGAATTAAATAAGAGATGATGGCAGTTCATATAACTCCCACAACTATCATATGATACGAAAGTGTCTGATTTCTGGTGAAGACAAATTCACAGGTTCTGCTAATACTATCACAGTTTGTCACCTACATTCATAATTGACACAAATGCTAAATTTTAGTTAAAGATTAATGAAAATAAAGGTTAAGTTTTTCCTTGTCTTTAGTTTCACATCTCCCTTAGGAACCCTTGTCCTCAAGTGTGTGTGTGGTTGATGTGTGTGTGTGTAACATATGACATACCACATATAGTCTATGTTAGACCTTCTAGAAAGTAATGTACCTCAGCCACGTCATGTCAGCTTCCCACTACTACCTTTAGACTTTATCCTTGTACTGTAACCATTTATTCAACAGATACTTATCTAGGACATGACACACAACGATCCATTTGAAGACTATTTTGGTCTTCTTCTCAAAGTCATACTTGAATACTAACCATACCCACCATCCCTTATATAAGAACCTAAACATTAAATAGCTCCTAGAATTTATTATAATTTTATAAGAAATACAAGAAATTTTGTGATAATTTTATATAAAATATTATTACAAAAAACACTTTTATTAAATGGTTTTCCTTTTGACCTTAATGCCACAAAACTTAGAGCTAAATTCGTTCCTTGATTGTAGAAATGAATTCAAAGTATCTGTACTTTTTACAAACTGTAATGTTTTATTGTCGTCTTTGCTAGGACCTGTTGATGATGGAGCAAGTCAAGGACTTTGCTGCTAATGTGTACGAAGCTTTCAGTACTCCTCAACAGCTGGAGAAATGATTGTTTCCGTCAAGAAACAGTACAGTGGAATTCATTTTAAAAGACACTGAATAAATCAGCTATATGTAGGCTAATGATTTGTTATTGAAATGCCTAATAGGAATATATTCTTAATCAAAGTCTTCATTTCATAATAAAATAGATTTATTTGGCATCTTAATATATTTTTTTAGGTCATCAACAGACTCCTTTTTGCAGGCGTATCTGAGTACACACGGTGCAAATATGAGAATTGTTAATATTTTGTTAGACCGTGGATATTGGTTCCAAAGTGACTAAAAACCAATGTAGATACTTTTTTTATATAATATGAAATGCAGTATACTTTGACATTGATACTGAGGTAAAATGGGAAATAGATGTGAAGTTTGAAAAATATGCTATTTAAATAAATCATAAAGTTCACTGGGCCACAGTTTCAGGAGTGAATCAGACTTTCCTCCAGTTACTCTTCAAAAGAATAAACTATTTCTCTTAAATATATCTGATGGGGGACTTTTCTTTTAATGGAAATCAGTGATTTTTTTTTTTTTTTTTTTGAGGAAGATTAGCCCTGAGCTAACGTCTGCTGCCAATCCTCCTCTTTTTGCTGAGGAAGACTGGCCCTGGGCTAACATCCGTGCCTATCTTCCTCTACTTTATATGTGGGACGCCTGCCACAGCATGGCTTGCCAAGTGGTGCGTAGATCCACACCCAGGATCCAAACCAGTGAACCCTGGGCCGCCAAAGTGGAATGTGCAAACTTAACCGCTGTGCCACTGGGCTGGTCCCAGAAATCAATGATTTTAACAACCATGATCAGCTATTTTTTTTCTTTACTATTGTTAACAATCCTTAGACAATTACGTATTGATTTAGATAGAGGCTGAAATTGTGTTGATGCGGTTTACTCACGGCTGTTATTAACTACATAGTTTCAATCATTTGTATGTAAATAATTTTAATAACTTACTTTGTATTGATTTTGAGCACAGTGAATATCTTATTGCAATAAAATATTTTAGTAAAATATAGTTTTGTTGAGTTAATATTTTATAGCCATTAAGTTATTTGTCCCATAGCGTTTTTTGCTCTTATTTTGGGGAGAATACACTAGTTTTCAAGTTTCATTTTAACTGGTAATCGATAACATTCTTTTAGCTTGTTTGTTTATAAAACAATAAATAGCATTTTATTCTGAAAAAAAATCATTCATTGTCTCTAGTAAATCTATAGTTCTGTATTTATAAAGGTGATTAGGGCAGAAATAAATGAATCATTATGTGTCATCAGTATATTAGATACATTTTCAGTAATATGAGAAATATTTTCAGTAACGTCATTTTTGTGTTCCTTCAACCTAACATATAACTAAACGGTAGAAGGCAAACAATGAATTGTGAAGTCTCTTCTAAGGCCATGCCAGGCCCAAAGCCAACTGCTAGGGGGTCTATGTCTAGAAGGTTAAAAAATTTTTTAAAACACCAGATGTAAAGATGGAGAGGAAGGCAAATGCTTCTTTTCAAAATTTGACAATATAGTAATGTTATTTCTAAGAGTGATGGAAAAAGTGCATTTTCGAAAATTAGTGAATGTGTGTGTAATAGGCCATCCATCTCTTCCAGCAACATTAACCAGGATTTCATCCAAGGAAAACTGGAGACTGAACAGGTGTGATCTTGTAAGGGTAGAAGGCTGATCAGTTGAGAATCGTCACGTGGAATCATCTGCATCTGTAGGGTTGTGGCAGTTGGACAGATGACAAGGTAAAAACCACATGTATTTGAAGCTAATTGGCCTTAGACGTTACAAATTTGTCTCCTAATAGTGTATAGGAGCCTTCCTGTCTGGCACCCTTAGTTGTTTGGTTAATCCAAAAAGTCATGTAAAGCAGGGTATCTTGAAAAAAATAACACATGTATTCTTAGATATTTCAACTTGAAATATAAATATTCTTTGTTTGCCAGTTATTTCATGTAGGACTCAGGCCTTTTCTGCCTTTCCGGTATAGGTGGGCTGACAGGCAACTCTAATGGCCTTTCTTGTTCCAGTCACATGCATTACGTTACATAGTTGTGAATCTTGTAGATTGTTACTGTATTTTCTCTCAGTCTCTTAGAACTGTTTTGGCCAGAGTTAACTAATCAATACCTTTAAAAAAAAAAAAAAGGCAACACACTTTTATCTACTTTTATCTAGTCTTTCCAAAGTATTCAACTTGGTCTCACAGAAACTGCTTTTCACACTCATGTCATCAGCTTATGTAATCACGATAAGTCTGACTGGCATCATCAGTTTGGTAACTGCGTTTGTTTCCTAGAGCTGCCGTAACAAATGACCACTGACTGGCTGGCTTAAAACAGAAATTGATTGTCTCAGCTTTCTGGTGCGCGCAAGTCTAAAATGAAGGTCTCTTTGGGGCCGGGCTCCCTCTGAAGGCTCTAGCGAAGAACCCTTCCAATCCTCCTTGACTCTTCCAGCTCCTGGTGGCCCCGTGTTCCTCGGCTTGTAGCAGCGTAACTCCAATCTCTGCCCCGTCCTCACATGGTCATCTTTTCTGTCTGTGTTCTCTATGTCTCTTATAAGGATACCCTCATTTAGGATCCACCCACATCCGGTGCATACTTATCTCAATTCTTAGTTACATCTGCAAAGACACTTTCCAAGTAAGATCACATTCTGAGCTTCCTAGTGGACATGAATTGTTGGAGAATACTCTTCAACCCCCCACAGTAACAAACCCAACGAACCCTTGGTAAACATCCATTGTAACAAGTGGAAATCGAAGCAAAGGGTGTGCCAAACAGATGCCCCCTAACTGAAAGCCTGCAGCCAGCCCCAGGCGTCACTCAGCTTTCCCAAGGGAACGGAGAGCATCAGTCAACCTAGTGAGCTGCTTAAATAGAGATTACTTGAAATAGCTTCTACTTTGTCTCCTTCAAACTTGGGTAAATGTGTTTGTTACTGTGTATATATAAAAATTTGATAGGAGCATTTCATTTATTTGGTCAGGAGTTAGGTAGGGAGATTTTTATCTAGTGAGGTCTTTTACAAAATTGAAATGAACAGAAGGCAAAAGATCTGTCTTGTTTTCTGTTGTCCTAATTCATATTTATTTGAATAGCCTGACCTTTTAGCGTAATTGTGTGGCTTCAACATGGCACTTATAAGAAAATGAGATAGAATCTTATTAAAGCGATGTCCATATTTAAAATGATATCAACGTCTAGATTATTCAGGGTAATAATCTAGGTTGGTTTGCCTTCAATTTTTCTCTAGTCATTAAAGAAAAATCAAAAGTTACTGAAATTTAAACAAGGCAATTTATACCTATTAATAACTCTGGGAAAAGGATTAATTGGTTGGAGGATAAAAACTATTGGCTTAAAATAGGTAATGAGAAATTTTATTTTTAATTATCCTTACTATAATTCTTGTTCTTCATACCACAGATAATTCTAAGAATTTGCTGGAATATTTTTAAATCCTTGCTATGAGACCTGATTGTAGTACATTTCACATACAAGCAAGATATACCTTAAATAAATTTAAATTTGGGGTCTCATAATTTTTCATATTAGCAGAGCATTTTACCAGCACCTCTGAGTGCCGAGCTGTATTTGTCATTTAGCTCTGTCATAGCTACTCATTAACGAAACCCTATATCTAACTATAATTTGCTTAAATATTTCCATTTTCCCCCTTTATTCTCAATTTGTAAAGCTAAAGAAGGACATGGTAAGAATTTAAGTGGTTGACAGGCTTTAGTCTCAAAAATAATTTCTTGAAAGAGATGACCCTACTTTTAGGATAAGATTTCTGTAACACTGTTTGTTTGGGTTTTTTCCTCCTTTTATATTTTCTTAGTCTAGTGTGTGGGATCATATAAATCTGTCCACATTGGATCTCTAATAAGATGTTAATTGGGATTTAGAACTATGAAAGTATTTGTTCTTGTAAGTACTTTGCACGGTTTCAAAAATTTGACAGTTGTAGGAACTTCAACAATGAGTAATTTTTAAGTTTTTCAACTTTAGCATGATTTTGGGAAATAAATATGAATAGTGTTTTATTCCTCTGTTTGAAACATTTTTTGGAAACAGTGAGATGTCTGCATTTGGTTAATGTGGAAATGGAACCTGCAGCACTTCAAGTAAAGGTCCGGCCGTACTGAACATCTTTTGTTGAGGGAAGTGAGTGCTTTAATCAGCATTTCTTTAAATTTACATCAAAATCAGTATATTTTTGCTTCATTATTTTGCTTCACTCTTAGGGGAGATCTGAATAAACTTCCTAATTTTTAACGAGGTTTTCAACTTCAGTTTGCTTGAAGGCAAATACAAGAAGCAGATTTATTAATTTAAACTGGACTTCAAATTAGCCCATCTACAGAAATAGGCGCACACCTCCAACCCCCGCCCCTCCTCCCCAAAACACCTAGAAGAGTCTGTACTAAAATGTTAACAGTGACCTGAACGGGCATTTTTACCTTTGAGCATTTCTGTATGTCTTAAAATATCTACAGTGAACATATATCAGTTTTATTAGCAAGAGGAAAAAAAGACAAAATTTTTTAATAAAAAGACAACTGTAAGCATTGGAAATACACCACCTGTATTAGCCTTCCATAACAAAACACTGCAGACTGGATGCCTTAAGCAACAGGCGGTCCTACTGGAGGAGGGTCCCACCCTTAGGACTTCATTTAACCTTGGTTACCTCTTTAAAGGCTCTGTCTCCAAATCCGGTCGTATTGGGGGTGAGGGCTTCAACATGTGAATTCCGAAGGAGACACAATTCAGTCCTTAACACCACCAGTTCCTAGCTACTCTAAAACAAAAGAGGCCCACCTCTGAATCACACACGGAAATAAATTCAATGTGAAGAGCTTTCAACGGCAAAGTGCACTGCAACTGCAAAGTTAAAACAGTTACAGGGGTAATTTAGGGAAAAAGGGCTAAACTGCCTAACTAATTACTTGACTTTTCTTGACCAATTTTACATTGGCTTTCTCTTTGTGCTACAATGCTAGAAACTTGACATTTGCTAGTCTTAGCCAGCACTGCAGCACAAACCATCTGCTGCAGATTAGAGCACGTTGGTCAGTGCTAGAGCCCAGCCCCATTCACAGGGCATCTGATGAGGGGCCAGAGGCGGCAGTTCTGCCACGATGCCGCTGTCCTTCAGAGCAGTCCAGTTAAGCAGCTGGCCGTGTCCCAGCAGTTTAACCTGAAATGAAAAACACACACACACGTCTCCAAGTGTGACTCTCTGACTCGCCCACTTTCTGTTTTGGGGAGAGGAGTGGTGGGAGTTTCTTAAAAAGCACTAGGGACAGGAGACTCATTGTTTACTTTTATTTAGTGGTTCACAAGCTGTTTTAAGTCTTGATCCAAATGAGTCATACATCTGTCTTGCCTCCTATATTCTTGCTTCTATATCGCCCTCAAAAGTGTGCAGGAGTTGGGGAAGAAGAATTGTCAGTGGAGTGAGAATTGTGAGTGGAGTGTCAGAGTAGGGAAAATGACGCTGGAACCAGTCTGCCCAACCAAAGCCTGCCCAGTTCTTAGACAGAATGTTTGGAGAAAGGCTCCACTCCCTCATCCAGCCACTCTTCCCAGCTCTTCCAGCAGCCTCCACTAATCAACAATAGGTCAGTGTGATCACTTAGTACTGTAATTTTTTACATCCTTAGTCTTATACTAAGTGAATGTAAACAAGCAGATTTCTACATATCTATTAAGTTATTTTGGACCAGAAAACTTTGCTTTTCACCTAGAGCAATACAAAAACAAAACCCACTGGGGCCAGGCCTGTGGCGTAGCAGTTAAGTTAGCGCTCTCCACTTCGGCGGCCCAGGGTTTGCCAGTTCGGATCCTGGGCACAGACCTACGCACTGTTTATCAAGCCATGCCATGGCAGGCGTCCTACATATAAAATAGAGGAAGATGGGCACGGATGTTAGCTCAGGGCCAATCTTCCTCAGCAAAAAGAGGATTGGTGGTGGATGTTAGCTCAGGGCTCGTCTTCCTCAAAAAAAACAAAACAAAACTCTGAACTTTTAAGTAGCAGTATTAATGGGGCCAAAGAGAACTTAGGTAAAATAAAAAGATAATGTCATACCCAGGTCATTAAGCTGTAATTAAACATGAGAATTAAACTCCATCTTCTTTTCTGCCTGAGCAAACACAAGTGTTAGAAATGAACTATGGAAAGATGACACAAGGAGAAGAATATGGACAATTCACCTCCAAGGAAATTGTCAGTTTCTTAAAAATAAGCTATAAAATCTGTCAAAATAAACTCAATGCCAGACCTCATGGTTATAACTGTTAGATTAACCTTTGACTTTCTCCAAGTGTTTTTTATGAACTTGAAATAATAGGGCCGTGACATCTTACTTTTATTCAGATGTGTTCTGGGCTGGAATGTCAGGGGAAGAATCTGAATTACAGTTTTATGAAAAGAGTCATTTTGGATGCATGCAGTGAACTTGAACAACATAGAATGACTGTGAAGAATTTCTGCTTTACACTGATGTGCATGGAGATAATGTAGCTGTTTTATAAGTTTAGTTTTCTGGGAAATCAAAGTTTTCAAAGGTTTTGACCAAACATTACCATTGAGGAAGCTGATTTCAAAATTACTCCTATGAGGTATAAGAGGAACACATATAGGGCTCTCCTTGTAGTTAAAAGTTATATTATGTTTTCATCAGGATATACTAGTTAGCTGTTTAAAGGAACAGTAAAGATAAGATTCCCTCTTACCTCTGTTGCCCCTGGAGTAGCTTTGGGTTGGCCAAGAAACAGCTGTCCTGATGTGGGCCATTTGAGAAACATGGCATAGACCAATTTTTCTGTAGGCTTGGATGTGTACCTGGTTAAAAGGGAAAAAAAAATATAGTAATATTTCTCATTATTTATGGGTCAGGTCTGGAATTATTTGATAGAGATACTTCCATTTAATAATATTTACCAATGTGCTCTTTAATAAAGGGAAAGAAAAATAGCCTCATGCTTGCGTAAAAAAACACCTAAAAGGGTTCTGATTCCAATTCCATTGTGGGACAGGGGAGGGTTTTCCCACACCAACAAGCAATTCTTGGACAACAGTGAGGTATCTACAATTCAACTTAATCCTAACACTATCTATACAGACGTGGTGTCAGATTCCACAAGTCAAGGGTTCAATCCTACAGGACTGCCCCCCCAATTCAGACACCAATCACAAGTCCAGGTTGTCACCTGGGCTTCTGACCCACGGCTGGAGAAGGGAGGTTCCATTGAATTCTCCTTGGGTTTGACTAATTTGCTAGAGTTGCTCACAGAACTCAGAGAAACATTTTAGTTACTAGGTTACCGGTTTATTATAACAGGATGTAACTCAGGAACAGCCAGATGGAAGCGATGCAGAGGGCAGGGAACATGGGAAGGACCTGGAGCTTCCATGCCCTCACCAGGCGTGCCACTCTCCCATCACCTCCTCCAACCCAGAAGCTCTCCAAACCCTGCCCTTTCGGGGTTTCATGGAAGCTTCATTACATAGGTCTGATAGATTAAATCACTGGCCTCTGATGATAGGTTCAACCTCCAGCCTTTCTCCTCACCCTGGAGGTCGAGGGTGGGACTGAAAGTTTTGATAAGCACATGGCTGAGACTCCTGGCATCCAGCCCCATCCTTAGGTGGGGTCCAAAAGCCACGTCATTAACATAGCAAGAGACACCTTTATAGCTCTCATCACTTAGGAAATTCTAAGAGTTTTAGGAGTTCTGTGCCAGAAACAGGGATGAAGAGCAAATATAAATCACAATATCACAGCCCCTCCACCCCACACTTCCCCAATACTAAAAGGAAGTTATTGGAACAAAGATTTTTCTAGTACTACTCTTCATCAGACTGTCCTCATGAAGCTGGAAATATGGGGGGAAATTGAGCAAGGGGGATAAGAAGCAAGGGTAGATGGCTGGCTCTCTGCCTGCTGATTCAAATCTGCATATTCCCTCATCCCACAGATCTGAATGTGTCAGCACTGGGCGAGGTACCGAGCTCAGCGTTAGTGACATGACAGAAAACAAGCACACTTAGTTATGGTTCTTACGGACCTTAGACTAGAGTGAGGCAGACAGATATGAAATAATCACACAAATAATATAAAAGTGTGAGTTTTGATAAGCACTACAAAAGAAAAGGAAATTGAGAAAGTATAACAAAGGGATCCCTTTAGAGCAGACCATCAACAAGAAGCTTCCACAAGAAAATGACATTTAATCTGAGATTTAAAAGATAAATGAGAAAAAAGATAAGAAGGGTAAGCTCTAGACAAAGAAAACAATTCATTTTTTTACTCAATTATTTGACAAATATTAATTGAAATCTTAAAATGCTAATCACTATGTTAGAGCTGGAGAAGCAGCATTGAACACAGTCCCTGTCCTCACAGAGCTTACATTGGAGTGGAAAAACTAGAATGAGCAAATAAATATATGTCGGGGAGGATTACACACTATGGAGAAAACTGATGCCAGGTAAGGAGGATAGAGTGTGCTGGGTTGGGAAGGAGGCATCTGGTGTTATTTTAAATAAAATAGTCAGGGAAGACCTCTTTAAGGAGACCTGAGCATCTGGAGCAAGAGAGAACTGCAGACACAGACGTCCCTATGTAAGAGTGTGCGTCCCCTGTAGATAGGCCAGCACAGAGGGCGGAGTGGCTGCAGGAGCAGACGTGAGGGACAGCAGGGGAGCAGACGAGATCGCAGAGACAGCAAGGAGCCAGTTTTCATAGGACCTTGTAAGCCTCTATAAGGTCTGTTTTTTCCTCTAAAACTGGAAGCCACTGGAGGAATTTGAGCCTGGGAGTGCCATAACCTGACTTATTATTTAAAAGATTTTGGGGGGTCCAGCCCAGTGGCCTAGAGGTTAAGTTCGTGCACTCCACTTCAGAGGCCCAGTGTTCGTGAGTTCAGATCCCTAGCATGCACCTACCCATGCTCGTTAAGCCATGCTGTGGCGGCGTCCCACATACAAAAGAGAGGAAGACTGGCATGGATGTTAGCTGAGGGACAATCTTCCTCACCAATAAATAAATAAATAAGGTTTTTGGGGCAGAGAGATTAAAGGGTCAAGGATGGAAACAGATCAGTCAAGAAGCTGCTGAAATAATCCAGGGGAGAGGCAATGGAGACTAAGAGGATGAGGGTTGCCACAGAGAGGATGAGCAGTGGTCAGATTCTGGATGTATTTCAAAGATAAAGATGCTATTTGCTGATGGATTGGCTGTGGGATATAAATGAGAGGGGAGTTAAGGACTCCAGGGTTTTTGGCCTGACACCCACCAAAAAGGATGAAGCTGCCGTAACTGAGCATGAAGGAGGCTGTGGGTGGAGCCAGTTTAGAGCAACATTCAAAAGTTAGGCCCTCAGTTCTGAACATAGCAGGTTTAAGATGCCTATACTTCCAAGGGTGATATGACTAGGAAGTTAAATATATGAGTCTGGAGTTCAAGAAAAGAAGTCTGCACTGCAGAGGTCATCAGGAGGGCATTTAGAGCCATGGAAATGAACGAGATCATCTAGGAAATTAAGCTAAACGGAGAACAGGAGTCCAAGGACGAAGGCTCAGCACCTCAAGGTTTAACTCTTGGGAACTTGAGGTGGAAACAGAAGGAGCAGCCACTAGGCATGATGAAGACAAGGGGCAGGGCCAGCCCAGTGGTGCAGCAGTGAAGTGCACATTCCACCTCAGCAGCCCGGGGTTCGCCAGTTCGGATCCCAGGTGCGGACATGGCACCACTTGGCACGCAATGCTGTGGTGGGCGTCCCACATATAAAGTGGAGGAAGATGGGCACAGATGTGAGCTCAGGGCCAGTCTTCCTCAGCAAAAACAGGAGGATTGGCGGTAGATGTTAGCTCAGGGCTAGTCTTCCTCAAAAAAAAAAAAAAAAAAAGACAACGGGCAATCAACTAAGGCAGATGCCTCCATAAACAGGCTGGGAACTGACCTGGACGTGGCCAGGGAGAGGTTATTGTGGGCCTTGATAACAGTGACTTTATGGAGTGTAGGGCAGAAGCCTACCCAGAGTGGGTTCAAGGGAAAACCTAGAGCAGGAAATTGGAGATAGCAAGTAAAAACAATTCTTTCAACATGTTTTACTATAAAAGAAAGGAGAAAAACAGACAGGTAGCGGGAAATCTAAGTTGGGATTGAAAGAGTACTTTTAAAGATTTATTTTATTTTATTTATTTATTTATTTATTTATTTATTTATTTATTTATTTATTTATTTATTTTGCTGAGGAAGATTTGCCCTGAGCTAACATCCATTGCCAATCTTCCTCTTTTTTTGCTTGAGGAAGATTCACCCTGAGCTAACAACATCTGTCTCCAATCTTCCTCTATTTTGTATGTGGGTTGCTGCCACAGCATGGCTGCTGACAAGCAGCGTAGGTCCATGCCCAGGAACCAAACACAGGCCACTGAAGCAGAGCATGCCAAACTTAACCACTAGGCCACGGAAAGAGTACTTTTTTAAGATGAAAGAGTATATTCTTAAGGTGAAAGAAATAACATGTTTCCATACTGATGGGAAAGGATCTAATAAAGAGAGAAAATTGAAGATGGGGAGAATTGCCAGAACAATATCCTTGAGTGGCTAATTGGGATGGAGTCCAGGACACAGAGTTTGGCCTTGAAGCCAAAAGTGACATTGTGTGCGTATGTGTGTTTTTCTAGTCACATTTAGCTGCCCAGGGACAGGCATGGAATAAGTAGGGCTGAATTTAATCAAGTTTTAATCAAAGTGAAGTGAGTATGACGGAGGGAGAAAGGGTGGAGGCAATGCAGCGACAGGCTAAGAATTGGACCTACATAAAGAAGAAGACAAACCACGAGAGGGCCCGGGGCAGAGGAAAAGTGATAGGATCAAAGGTGGTGTGACGGGTCATGCCGTAGGAAGATCCCTTTGGACGCTGACGTGCTATGTGGAGAGAGCTACAGTATAAGAGGTGGTCGTCGACGGCAGAATGCTTCAAATCGAGATCATGGGAGAGGTGCAGTTGTTGGTAAGGAAGGCCTGAGTTAGGACCAGAAAAGGGGCCATGAGGGGAAGAGCACCTCCAGTGAGGAGGGGAGGCAGGGCCGCCGGCCTCAGTGAGGTTTGCAGGAGCCAGATCAGTAAAAAGGCCTTGTTAAATACCTTGGCTTCTACCTGTACATATTGAAAGGAACCTCCAAGAATAATGGTTAATGATCGCAAAGTCCCAGATCAGACATCCTCGTAGTCAAATATAAGCGCAGAAGCAAATTCCAAAGCCAGATTTAAACGAGCTTGCGTGCAGTGGAGAAGGGGGCTGAGTTCTTGTGGCTTCCTCCAGGCCCTACATTCTAAAATTCTTCAATTGCCGCTGCTGTCTCGACTGCTCTGCTTTATTTTCTTTCATTGAGCAGCCAGTTTGTTTTAAGTCAAAAGTCGAGTAAGATCAAAGAAGAACATTCAGTCTAATCTTTTCATTTATACTTGAGCAGGCTGTACTCACACTGGTGGCCACACGAAGGGAATTTCTAGAGTTTCACTCATACTACTCTTATTTACGTACGTTGAGACCCCACATCAGAAACCATCATATCTGCAGAGTCTGATTCAGATACTCATTGGCACACGGAACCTTCCAAAGCTCAGAGAGAAGCCTAAGACAAGGCTTTTAAAGAAGATACTAGTTAGAAGAAAGATTAGCAAGATCATTAATTTTAAAGAAACTTCAGGCTTAGTTCATTTGAATAACATGAACAAATTACAAATGTTTTAATCAGTTAATTAATGCTGTTATTTGGGCTGATTTTTAATATTTTTTCTGCCCTTTGGCGCCTCTTGCTTGGTAATTTGAGGTGACATAACATCTACAAAAGTTAGAATTTACTTAACTGATTAAACAGAAGTCTCTCTTTTGAGTTAACCACTCAGCATTTTTCATTTCTCTGAATGGCTTACAATTTTTATAAGAACTGGCTACTTTTCACTAAAATTTGTCCACCACTAGGAGGTTTCTAGAGATGATTTAATCTCAATTGGATAACAAGTTTTGAAAAACAGGCTGATTTCTTCCCCTTCCTTCTCTTTACAGTAAAGTTCGAAAAGTGTTTTATATAGGTACACATTTGTCCAATTTCATTTTTTATCCTACTTTTCTCTTTATATCTCTGAGAAATTTTAAATGCCTTCCTCTGTCAATAGTACTTGGTGACGAGAGTAACTTACCACACATCTGGGGTGACAGTGTCATTCTGGGATCTCCAAGTGTGGGTCTCATAAATGGCTTCTCCATTGACTTTTAGCCAAGACCCCATTTGCCTTAATCGCTCCTCAAAGATTGCAGAAATGGTGCCATCTTGTGTGGGCCCAATATTCATCAAAAGATTTCCTCCACATGCAACTGTTTCTACAAGTTGCTAAAAAATTAAGAATAAATCTTGTTTTTAGTGAGATAAAATAATTCTATCATGAAAGTGTTAATATGTTGTATTTATGGACCCATACACACATATATAGTCACTATGTAGGAGAACCAACATAGAGGATAGAATAATGTCCTGTGTTCATAGGCCACTGAGCTATATAAATTATAAAAAATAGTTCTCACACACCCACATTATTAAGAATATTACCACAACATTTTACTGTACCTCCACCAATTCTTCAATGGTGAGGTAGTCATGGATCCCAGCATCTCTCCTGTAGCCCCAGGAAAACTTGTCTATTGTCATGCAGTTTTCCCACTTATGTGGCAAAAGATGTCCCGGGTTGTAACGGTCACTGCAGGTATAGTAGCCACCATGCTTACAGATGGTACCAGCTCCCCAACGGTCGTTGGTGACGACTGTGTCCCGAACGGGGCTGAAATGAAAGGTATAACTTTTTTAAACAGAAAGTAAGATTTTTTTGACATGAAAGAAAATGTCACTGAAAAGAGGCCTGACTGAAATCCATTCCTGAAAATAACCGTAGCAGAATATAATGCGAAGCCCATGGTTTTGAAATCAAATAGACCCAGGTTGATTGCAGTTCTGCCTCTGTCACTTTCTAAGCTCCCTCTCCTAGAGCAAGTGACCTAACTCTTCTGAATAACCAATTTTCTCATCTATTATTAGAACAGAAATAATTTATATAAAAGACCTAGCCTGGTGCCCAGCACAGACAGCACTTATAAGAGTATTATACTATTATTTGAAGCTTCCCCTCATATTGTGAGTGATAGCGAGACATTCTTCTCACTTATAACTGAATAATCTCAAATATTCTAGCCTTTCTCTTTCCCTTACAGTTGTGCCTAATATAAAACAAACTCAGGAAGGTCGACTGTTGTCATCATGGAATTAATTCACTGTAGCTTGAAATAGCCCCACAACATTATTTATCATAGCAGGGGGACCTCTTGCACCTCTCCACTTAGATGGGACAGTTTTGGTTCATAAATTAAAGTGGATGGCTCTCAGTCTTTCCCGTTGGAAAGAAGACCTGGAGAAACTGCTGTTTTAAGTATTAAAAGCTCTCCAGAGGGGCCGGCCCCATGGCTGAGTGGTTGAGTTGATGCGCTCCACTTCGGCGGCCTGGGGTTCGGATCCTGGGTGCGGACATGGCACTGCTCGTTAGGCCACGTTGAGACGGCGTCCCACATGCCACAACTAGGAGGACCCACAACTAAAAAATATATATATACAACTATGTACTGGGGGGATTTGGGGAGAAAAAAGCAGGAAAAAAAAAAAAAGATTGGAAAAAAAGCTCTCCAGAAAGAGTCATGCATTGCTTAATGATAGGGATATGCTCTGAGAAATGTGTTCTTAGGCAATTTCATCGTGTGAACGTCATAGAGTATACTTACACAAACTGAGATGGTTTAGCCTACCACACACCTATGCTGTATGGTATTAGTCTTATGGGACCACCATCACATACAGGGTCCATCGTTGACCAAAACGTCATTATGTGGCATATGACCGTACTTGTATATGTGCCTTTTGTGGGCCCTGGGACACAAGCAGAATGCTCCTTCATTTCATAGCCCAATACCAAGTATCTTCTAGTTACAAATATAAATGGGGTTCATATAGTTTAAGCCAAATGGAGGAGCTCTGACAGAACTCCCTGTTCTGATGGGGCAGCCTGGAACTAGCTAGAAAGCAATAGGAAAGAATAGGAAGAGGTGAGAATGCTGACCATGAAGGAAAGGAGGAGACAGACAAAGGTGAAATGACTGAGCAGCAAAAATCAAAGGGTAAGAGGATTAAAAAAAAGCAATTGGAGGAATTGAAAAGCACATAATCAGAAACAGTAATGAAAAAACAGTTGTCCCCAAATAGGAGATGAAAATGGGGGACCCACAAAATTAATGTCTTCAAAGTTCTTGGTTCTGTGATTTTTAGTCTGACTTCAAAATCAGACTATTGAGTTGTATTTGACCCTTGATTTGTAACTCTTGATTACTTTGGATAAATATTGATATATCTAATAAGCATTGTTTACAAGGATTTCCTCCCCCATACCACAAATGAGCCTGAAAGGAAATCTTTCAAGAAGCAAGGGGATTGACATGTTACACATGTATTAGGAACGTGTAAGGTCACTACAGCAAGCGAAAAGTGCACACACCTTTCGTTATACAGCCAGGCTAGGAAGCCGGTGCTGTTCCAGTAGACATCCGGGGCCCCTCCGTCACCATCCGCCCACAGGACCTCGGGCTGATACTTGTTCACTATCTTGTAGAGCTCAGGCAAGGTCTTAGAAACTGGAAATTGTCGCTTGTGGAACAAACTGAATTTATCCTCCAGGAAGAGTGGATGAAACCATTCAAAAAGAGAATAGTACAGTCCAAAATGCAGGTCAGTCCTGTTCCTAATGGCCACCTCTAGTTCCTTGACGATGTCCCTCTTCGGCCCCTCATCTACGGCATTCCAGTTCCACGAGTACTCTGAGCCCCACAGGGTGAAGCCTGCGCGATCACACGAAAAACCTTTGTAAGCAAGTCGATTTTATTCTGGCAAATTTCCACCTCTACAAACGTCAAAGCCAGTCAGATGGTACACATAATAACTGCTTCTGCTACAACTGCTTTACGGCAATTGTCTTCATGGCATATATCTGCTTTGCTGTGAGAAGCAAGTGAGAATTTAAACAAGGTGGAACGGAGGTTTCTAAACGTAACTCTCAGGGTGCCCGTACGGTCTGTTTAGTCTGGCCTGTCTCCTGCTTCCTCTGAGACGAGAAGCGCTTGAGGGAGCTTCGCATCCGCGGTGGTCTCTGCTGCATCCCCAGCCAGCTGCTGGCACAGTCTAGCACAAAATCAGCAGCCAACATTAGCAGACCACAGCTAGGATTACAGTATATCCCCTGGTTTTAGGATTATTTATTTTATTATAGATATAATAATATATTATATTAATATATTATATATTTTAATATATTAATAAATATTAATATTTATATATAATATATAAATATAATAATATATTTTATTATTTATTATTTTATGTGATTTTTAGAACACTAGCAATCCATGTGTAGTATAAGTCTACTTACACCCACCTTTCGTAATCTCATCCTCTCTAAAGTCTTGAGCTTGGGTGTTGCTCTTTAAATTACTTAAAAGTGAATTATCTACCAATTAAATGGGTAAGAAAAACGTCTGCCATTATACAAGCACTTCGAAATAATTCATTTTAAAAGGAATTTGCATTTAGATAGCTGCTTCTTCTACATTAAGATATTAGAAGCAATGTAGAAACCAAAACACTTAAGAAATAATATAAAAGCCTCAAAATTTTACTCAGTGCCTCAGGACATAAGTACAGTTGTGTGTCACTTAACAACGGGGATGTGTTCTGAGAAATGCGTCCTTAGCCAACTTCGTCATTGTGCGAACATCACAGGGTGCACTTACCCAAACCTAGATGGTACAGCCTACTGTACACCTAGCTACACGGCACTAATCTTATGGGACCGCCGTCCCACATGCGGTCCATCGTTGACGGAAACGTTGTGCAGAGCATGACTGTGCATTGCTACCGTCCTAAGAAAATCTAAAAGAATCTTTGAGAACAGACATACATAGACACTTTGTGGGTGAAATACTTTACTCTTATAAATTAGGACAAGCTTTTAGATTCATTTTTAAGAAGCTTTTAAAACAGCTCACACTTGTTCCCAAGATGTTTGTGATAGGCTTCAAAGCAGTGTTGATATTTAGTCTTATTCAAAATGTTTCAACTTGACAGGCCCTAATGTCAGGGAATGCGAAAACCCAATGGATCTTCGGTTCAGTAGCACCACCATAAGCTCACAGTGGTCTTCCCACGGAACCCAGCTCAGCGGGGTCTTTTCCATAAGCAATGAAAACATCAGACAAGGTGGGTCCCAGAAAGTTTATAAATGTGAGCCACATCATCTGTCCTCACAGTATGATTAAGAGTCGTTTTGTTTTGTTTTTTAAAATAAGCTCACTGTGTAATACTTTATGCCAGCTTAGAGAAGTTCATAGACATCAGGAAATCAACATGTTCACACACAAATACACTTTACAAATATCCATCTCACCAGGAGAAACATCTATAGGACAACATTATTAAGCCACTAGAATGTGGCCAAAGGAAAAATATTCTAAGATAATTCCAGATGTTGGGAGTTCTTCCCTCCTACTCCCCTCCCCATCCCTGGAGAAAACAATGAGGCAAAATTTCCTAAACCAAGGCAAAGATGGTTATGCAAAAAAAATTGTCAAATGAGTTAACGTGCAGTAGGAACAATAACAATTTGTTGATGCTTTCTTGACACTGGAATGGTAATGGGTGGAAACCATCCTATTAATGTAGGACCACTGTGATGGTTAATTTTATGTGTCATCTTGTCTGGGCCACGAGGTGCCCAAGATACTTGGTCAAACGTTATTCTGAGTATGTCCATGAGGGTGTTTCCACGTGAGATTAACATTTGAATAGACAGACTGAGTAAAGCGGCCTGCCCGCCCCAATAGGGGTGGGCTTCATCTAATCCACTGAAGCCCTAAATAGAATAAAAGGCTGAGTGAGAAATAATTCTTTCTGCCTGTGTTTGAGCTGACACATCAGTCTTCTCCTGCCTTTGGACTCAGACTTGGAGTAGAAGCTACATCATCCACTCTCCTGGTTCTCAGGCCTCTGGACTTGGACTGGAACTACACCCTGGGCTGCCCCGGGTCTGAACTTCTCAGCCTCCATAATCGCGTGAGCCAGTATTTTATAACACGCTTCCTGTGGTCTCTGCTTCTCTGGAGACCCCCGACTAAGAGAACCACTGCGCTTCCTGTTAGACCTTCTTCCAACGCCTCTGATGTTTCTGGGCACCATCACAGTTCCACAGTCCTTTTCCTTCCAGGTGGTCTGTGTCACTTTCATCACTAACAAATTCTCCACCAACTGGCCAAAGGTGCAGCCATGTGTCTTGGTAACGACACAAGACTGCGGCAGCACAAGCCCCATGGTGCCTTCCCAGAATGCACTACAGAGGTGGAATGAAAGGAAAGAGAACAATTCCAATTATAAACTTTGACCTGCAACCCACATCCCACTTCAAATAGCTTTAATCAAATCTTGGGAATATTGTTAAATATGCATATAACAAAATATGATCATTTTTCATTTTTTCTCTGTTATGTGGAGGGTATGATCTTTCTGCATACCTAATTGGGTAGAACATGTGGTCCCTGAAATTATAAGCGAATGTCAATAGCCACTTATGTTTGCTCCTAAAACTCTGATTTCATGAGTAAACTTACTTTAGTATCTTCTTCCAAAAAAACTACTTTGCATTTTATAACCATTGTCATTGTTTGCAAATGTTGCACTTACTTACCTTCATGATGTTTGGAAGTTAAGACAATGTATTTGGCACCAGAAGCCTGAAAAATATCTGCCCACTGGTTTGCGTTAAAAAATTTTGCTGTAAATAGTGGTCCAAAATCTTCATATTTGAAATCAGGAGGGTAATTATCTTTCATAAAATTCACAAACTTCGGTATCTTTTCCTTTTGCCAATACCACCTAAAGTGGAGGAATAGAAACAGCACATGAACATTTGAAATAATTGCCCCAGCTCCCTTTAGTAATTCCCTCTTACTTAAATGGTACCCAGATGCTCTTTGTCCTTTCCCCAGTAGTATGACTTTGCCTTAAAGAAAGCTTATCTAAACCAAAACTCCCCTCATTTTCCATCTATCCCTCTATGAAATACACTCAGCTCATAAACTAGAACATTCTAGACAACCCAGCCACCCATTTGCCCTTAATTCTTTACTTTTAAATTGCAAGATATAGTATGTATCTTTAGATAGCCAGTCCTTTGTAACACAAATGAGGAAGGCTTCGAAAGGAAGACTAGGTGTCTAAAATCGCATGCAGCCATATTGTATTCACTAGCGGAGAACAAGTGGCAGAGGGCACAACGTTAAAATTAAGAAGATGCTGTTATTTTAATATATTGACTCAACCTTCAAGGATTACTCATTATATGTTACTTATTCTGATTAATGCAGCCTAAACTGCCTAAGCAAGGCTTCATGAGGAAAGCCATATCTAAAACATAATTATACATTTTAGAGAAACACAGCAGTAACTATCCTCATGAAACACATGCAAGCCCCATCTCTGACCCACCTTCCGCTTTTTTCCACCACCACTCTTTTCACAAGAGTATTTCTACAGGATGAGCCAATCCGTAACCAGCACTACATCCCCAAAGACCATCAGGAGGGCCTTCCTGCTGGGCAGTCCTCATTGAAGGACGTATGTCGAAGGACGTATGTCGCAGGCACTATTGTTTGCCTGCCCGAAAGTCAGAGGCAGACTTTCCCAGCTTCCATCGCAGCTGCGACATGGACTCATGACCCATGCGGCCAGTGGAACTTGAGGGGACCCAACTTGGGAGATTCTGGAAATGGCCTCCCTGCCTTTAGACAAGGCTGTGTGAAGCGATGCCTAGCTGCCATCATGTGACCATGAAGGGACAAGTCAATAGGCTGAGGATGACAGGAAGAGCCTAGATCTTTGATTTCATCAATGAGCAAACTGCCTCTAAATTTCCTGTTATGATGACAAGTTCTACTATTACACATTTTATTTGGGTTTTCTATACCTTGAAGTGAAAGCATCCTAATTGATCCATGATGCATTTTCACCTTTTCATTTGAACTACAGAAGAGAAACTTGGAAAGTCTCAGAAAGTTGAACAGAATAATGGATTTCTCCTATTTTCTCCTACCTGCATTTGAACCTGCATTCTCTACTGTAGTCTAGAGTCAGTGCTCAAATTTCACACTAATAGAAATGAAAAGAGGCACTTATAGTAAACAGCCCATCATTTTATTTGCTTTGAATTGCCCTTAAGGACTGTCAGATACACTCATCTCTACTGTTGTCAGCCTGAGTCAAACCGGGGTGGGGAGCAGAGGGTTAGAGGGGACACAAAGGGAAACTATAGGTAATTAAAGAATCTTCTGTAGGGTTAATGTACTCCCAGACCATCAGAAATATACTCTATTTTCTTTTGTTTAAGACGTATCTTTACTGCTCTAGGTCACAACACAACCCTGTGTTCATTTGTAGAAAATGGAAAGCTAACCATTGCAAATAAAATGACCCAAAATTAGCTGTTTTTGACAGAGTACAAGTGTTAACTAACAAACATCAAATCCTCTTCCAGCACAAATGCATATTTACCTAATCTTTATGGTTGAACAAAATGATAAGTCCAAATATAATTTATTATCTTTTTTTTTTTAAGATTGGCACCTGAGCTAACAACTGTTGCCAATCTTTTTTTTTTCTTTGTCTTATCCCCAAAGCCCCCCAGTACATAGTTGTATATTCTAGTGTGAGTGCCTCTGGTTGTGGCATGTGGGATGCTGCCTCAGCATGACCTGATGAGTGGTGCCATGTCCGCGCCCAGGATCCGAACGGGCAAAACCCTGGGCCGCTGAAGCTGAGCGCGAACTTAACGACTCGGCCACGGGGCCAGCCCCAATTTATTTTATCTTAATAGAAGAAAATCTGTCAATTTATGTACCTAGCTAATCTGCAACATTTCAAAAACAAATTCAAAATGTCTCACAGCGCAAACCTTGCAAATAAAGATTCATAACATCCTGAAGGAAACATGTTTGATAAATCATGATATGGAGAGAAAGAGCCCCTTGTTTTACGAGTGGATTTCAAAAGTGTTGATGAAAACAATCCATAAACAATCTATGAATGAAAATTGGGGTGAGTTTATTCTGAGCCAGATCTGAGGACTAGCTTAGCCCGGGCCTTCCTTCCCCAAGGAGGGAAGGGCACCAAAGAAGTGGGGTGCACAGAATGGCTCTATACCATCAAAGAGCACGTATCACATATGATTGAAATGTCCCTTTTACAATAGTCACTAGATTGCCCTGTCAGCACAGTGATTGATGGACACAGCAGGAAGCAGGTGTGCTGTCCTGAGCTGGGTGGTCACAGGTGAGCACAGCAATCAGTTCCTAGCCTAGGGAGAGATGCTCATCCTTAAGGAAATGCCAGTGCGGGGGAAAGTGCTATTTGTTTACCATTGGTTTGTCAAGAGTATAAGACTAGTACTCCATAGCTTACACAGTTCTTTTATATTAACTGGCCTAACGTAATAAGAAAGGTCTCTGGTTGCAGAAGCCAATCTCTCTCTAGAAAGTGGTACCATGCATATAACATAATGTTAACACAATACATAGTTCATACTCTGTATGGTATCTACCATATTTTGTATACATTAAATTTGATGTACACTATGTATGTAGTATAAAATGGATGTAAATATAAATACTCATTGTTTATATTTTTATTTTACTTGGGAATATATTATATACGTGTATTACTGTGTGTATAAACATATATATATATGATGAATAAATGACAAGCGATAGGATATATTGGAGTATATGAGGAAGCCATTTGGTATAAAACTGATTCGGCCTGACCTTGTTTTCCAAAAGGGCCTGACGTGGCCTGTTGAGCATGCATTGTACGTCTGCTTTAAACATTTACTACGTCCCAAAGACAAGGATGATGCCCTTAAAGATAGGGATGTATCTTCCCCATATTGGCATTCCCTTAAGGATAACCATCTCTTCATAAAAACTAAGGATTAATTACCGACCTGCTGTGCTCACCTTGTGGCCACTCACCTGCTGTGCCAGAAAAACCACCTCGTGACTACTGGAAAGGGGACATTCCCATCACATGTAATGTACACTCTTTGTTCCAAGACTGTAGATAACCACTCTGTACACCCCACCTCTTTGGAGTGCTTCCTTGCTTTGTGAAGGGACTTTTCGGGGCAATATGGTCTTCAGGGTTGGCTCATCATAAACTCGCTCCAATTTTGATTTATAGATTGATTATGAATTATTTGCATCAATGTACATATATATGTGTGTGTGTGTGTGTATCTGTGATAACATTTCTATCCTGAAGAACTGAAGACCTGAAGTATTTAATCAGGAAAAGCATGTGAAACAGTTCAAAGTTGTAAGAGATCACCTGCTCATTTTTACATGGATCTCAAGGTAAAGCCTAAAGAGCGATTACTTGTGCAGCAGGTTTCATACAGTAGCATATTAATCATTAGGGGTGGTATTTTTAGGTAACATTCTAGAACCTTTTTGTAATTCCTAGAGCCACACATGGCGACATTTTAACATTAAAGAGCCCATGCGTGCTCGAATGAGCAGACGCTCCATATGCCGTGAGTTTCTGTTTTAACCACACTTCAGGGCAGAAGGACTGGAAATCGGCAGGCGGCAGCGGAGCAGCCGTGGGACATCGGGACTGGGTCTCCTTGGACAGTCTAGACCCAAGCTTCACCGCTCATCCCATGACCCCACACAAGAGGATTAATGTCTGCTGCTTCAGTCACTCAGTGGTTACAGTGTGATCACTCCAACTTGATACGTGTAACCAACCATCAGGACGCTGAGAAAGCAAAGCCACCCTGTGTGACAGCAACTGCAGGCACACGGGAGAAAACTTCACTGTCTTCCAGGGCGAACCACTTACACAATAAACTACACACTTAACACCCGGAAATGGTCAACTCGGTTAACGCGGCGGGAGGAGAAACTGACCAGGGGCCAAACCCAAGAGGCCAAGGCGACACGGACTGGGTAGCGGGGGAGGCCGGGGGACAAAGCGGGGTCGGAGGCCACGGAGGAGGCGGGCGCGCTCACCAGAACCACTCGCTCCCGAAACTGGGCACGGAGAACACGCCCCAGTGGATGAAGATGCCGAACTTGGCGCGGTCGAACCACGCGGGCAGCGGGCGCGCGTCCAGGGACCGCCAGGTGGGCTCGAAGCGCGCGGCGCCGCGGGCGGGCGGCAGCGGCAGCAGCGGGAGCAGCAGCGGGAGCAGCAGCGGGAGCGCCGGCGGCAGCATGGACCCCCGCCAGGCCCGAGAGCCGCCCGAGAGCCGCCCGAGAGCCGAGGGCGCCTTCTTCCGCGTCTCCGCCCAGGCCGCGCCGCCACCGTCACCTGACCAGGCTGGCCTCGGAGAATGCACCCTTCCCCGCGGGGGGAGTGGCCGCTCTTCCAGCGCCGGAGCTGAAAGACCCCAGGAGGGCTGCACGCGCACTGGCATAGCTAACGAGGCACGTAGCACCCAAGCACCCCTGAGGCTCGCAGTCTGTGCGCTTTGGGGAGAAACAGGAGTCTGGCTCAGCGACCTGTGGGCGCGCCTCTCCCCTCCGGAGGCACGACCCGTACAGAAACCTCCCGACTGTGCCAGGCCACCCACCCGGCCGGGTGCAACCCTGGACCCGGAGGCCAAGGCGGGAACCTTCGGCGGGTCGTCCAGCCCCTCCTAGGCCGGAGGCCCCGAAAACAACCCAGATCCCTCTTAGCCTCTGCATTTTCTCCCGGAAGCTTCTGGGCGTTGTTAAACTGTGGCTGTCAACCTCGAGTCTGTATCAGGTGAAATTCCCAGAGTTTCCGGTTCAGGTTGGGACCCCAGGGTGAAACCGGTAAACTTAGCCACCGATGATTAAGTAGCTAGTCCCTGAAGTTCTTTTTGCAATTACTGATTATGGCTTTTAGTTGTTCCCGCACCCATTATTAACTGTGCTGCTTAGGCAATATGCTATCTGACTCCGACTAGGTGCCCACAGGTAACATCTCCCCGGAGCCTGGGTCACCATGGTAATGCGTGTGTGAGCTGCTTTTCAGGAATTAGGACCCCTTGTCCAGTTCAGGCCAGTTTAGAACACCAACCGATCAACTGGGCCTGTGCAAATGCTAGACAAGTGACCTTTTTGACATCAAGGAGCTAAAACTCCACCCTCAGAGCATGAGGCCTGCGGCCATTTTGGGAACATGCGTCCTGTGAAGAGCCCTGGAGTCTGACTACCTTATGCAGGTCATCAGTCACCTCCCCTCTCCTCACCTCCAGTCATACATCTCCAGTCTTCAGACCACCTTGCCCGCACCCCATAAATATCCCTGAGTCCCCATTTTCTGGGAGGCAGATTTGAGACTCATTCACCTGCTTCCTCACTTGGCTGCCCTGTGATTAAACCCTCTTTCTGCTGCAATCTTGTCATCTCAGTGACTGGTTTTCTGGGTGACAGTGCACTCTACTTCAGCAGCACGGGTTCAGTTCCCGGGCGTGGAGCTACACCACTTCTTTGTCAGTGGCCATGCTGTGGCAGGGACCCACCTACAAAAAGAGGCAGACTGGCAACAGATGTTAGCTCAGGGTGACCCGTCTCAGGAAAACAAAAACAAAGTGATCTAAGACAAGTGAAATCAGTGGGATGAACATTTGAGGGATCGACAGGCTTGGAGAAAGAAGCCAGAAACTTGGAGTGATTAATCAAGGGCATCATCAGAAGCTCACGTCTACCCCTCTTAGATGCTTTCAGAGTAAAGCCAGAATGCCCACGCCTTCTGCTCCTGCAGAACACCTCTCATCCTTCAGTGGGCCAGTTCAAATGTCACCTCCTCCCAGCTTTCTGTCACCACCTTCCCTCCCAGATGTTTTACTCCCTCCTGTGTGTTCCCATTAACATCTTATTCCAAGCACTAACATAGGATTCCATGGATTGTCTGTAGTTAGAATACAGGTCTCATTTCCCATTAGGCTGTGAGCTTCTTGAGGACAGGATAGTGACCTTCATTTCTGTAGTCCCTGAATTTAAAGCAGAGCCTGGCATGGAGCAACTCTCAAAGCGTGTTTGCTGAAGTCCTTCGATAAACTGGGGTTCTAATTATTGAGTGTTATGAAAGAACAAAGAAGGATGTGGACTTCAAAAGCCTCAAAATGAGTTTACTTGGGAATAGCCAAAAGAATTGCCATTCGGGACGTGCATGCTATGGCAAACCCAACAAACAAAGAAGGGGAACTGCCTTTAGAGAGAAAAACGGGAAGTAGGGAGAGACTGTTCTAAATGAAAATCCGTTGGGGAAAGTAACAGTTCAGGGCGGCAGCAGCTTCTCACTGACTGAGCTGCGGCACTTCTCTGGGCTGGGCTGTTGCAGAGTGGGAAGAGAAATCTTCCTTCAGTAGTAAAGTAGTTTTACTTCCTGACCAAGATGCAAGCTCCCTTTCTTCCTGGTTGGTGTAACTGACAATGAGTGATAGGATGTGAGAGCTCCCCCTGCAGGCCTTCCGGACTCCAGTTTAGTTAAGGTGTCTTTTATTAATTTCCACAAGGAAAGGATGCTGTGTAGCTGTTACCCTCATTCTCCCATCTATGCAAAGACATGGGAGCAGCAGTGGCCACTGTGACCCCAGGTATAAGCGCTCACCCTCCTGATGCAGTGTGGATGGCTCCCCAGGGCCACAGCTGCACCATAAGGGCCCCCAGCCTTCCCAGGGTGAGGATCACCTGGGAGAGGGGGACCAGGGAATCCGCTGAACACACCACCAATTTCAATAGCCCCAGGCAGTGATAAAGTGAGGTGACAGTTTTTATTGTCTAGTCTTTGATCCTAGAATGATCCAGCACCTCAGTGGCCACTGCACCTTGACATCCTTTAAAACAGATATTTGCATAATAAGGCAAAAGACATTTCTCACAGTGGGCCGGCCCAGTGGCCGAGTGGTTAAGTTTGCTCGCTCCGCTTCGGTGGCCCAGGATTTCCCCGGTTCAGATCCTGGGTGCGGACCCGGCACTGCTTGTCAGGCCACGCTGAGGCAGCGTCCCACATGCCACAACTAGAAAGACCCACAACTAAAAATACACAACTATGCACCGCGGGGCTTTGGGGAGAAAAAGGAAAAATAAAATCTATAAAAAAAAAAAAGACATTTCTCACAGTGACAATGAGATTGTGAACTCTCAAAGGGACAGTAGATATAGTAGATATGGTGACAATGCATCAGTAGGGCGCTGTCTTCTCATCAAGCATCATTTGCCTATGTGAACCACATTTCGACAGTTTCCATCTTCTAAACAAATTGTTTTTAATCATGTAATAAACTATTTAAATTTCCATGTATTTTGGTTAAAGAGCACTAATCCAACGTTCTGATCTGTATAAATGCCACTTGGGTCCTTTATCATCGCACATGAAGGCAAAGAAAGATTTTTAGTAAGTACAATCTCACCATGAAAGTATAATTTCTGTAGGAAACACTGAAAATAGATGACAAGCGTCCCTGGGAGCCCTTGAGGCTACATAAGAAAGCTTGACCACCAGGGGGAGCCACTGGTGTAGGATTTGGAGTCAATCGGAAGTGGATTTATTTGGGAATGAGGAGGGAGAAGAGATTCTTCTCAAAACAGACTTGTTTGATGACTGAAAGAATGAAGTCTAGGAAATGTTTTAGAACATGGTCACTTCTGGAGAGACCTGCATGCAGTAGATTGCACTTCACATTTTGTAAGACAGCGCTTTACAAAGCTACAGCCTTTGCCACGAAAGCTGCTGCTAATTGCACAATAGAACCACGCGACACTAAGGCATCAACCACGTATTTAAAGGTAGTGGGGTTTTTTTTAAAGATTGGCACCTGCGCTAACATCTGTTGCCAATCTTCTTTTTTTCTTCTTCTTCTTCTCCCCAAAGTCCCCCATCGTCCCCGTCCTCCCTTCCCCCCCCGCCCCATAGTTGTCTATTCTAGTGTGAGTGCCTCTGGCTGTGCTATGTGGGACGCTGCCTCAGCATGGCCTGGTGAGCAGTGCCATGTCCACACCCAGGAGCCGAACCAGTGAAACCGTGGGTCGCCAAAGCAGAGCGCACAAGCTTAACCACTTGGCCACGGGGCCAGCCCCAGTATTTAAATATTTTGATAGAAGATCCAGATCTCTGAGAAACAACAGGTTGTCTGGGTGCACATGCCCATTTATAAAGCTTTTTGTGGGGCCTTGGCCCTCAATGGGGAACACTGGCCAGGAGCCCTGATCCCACCGAGGTGCTAGATGAAGAAAGGCGAACAAGGTCTTTTCCCTGAAGCAACCAGTTGCCTCACTGGGGGGCTGCCAGGGCCGACGGCCACATGTTGGACAGCTGCAGGTCAGCGGTGCTCACCATGGTCGCTGCTCCCCATCTCCGGGGCGGGGGAGGGCGGGAGGCCAGCCCTGGCCAACTTCTGTTACTCGGGCTGCCGATGCCGAGGCTGGAGCCGATATGGCAGGAGGCTCTTGAGGACACATTCTGGATCTCCATATGGGACTTGGATGACCGCCACCAACCAGCCTTAGCAGTTCCCAGAATTCTCTGAAGTGGACAAAGAAAGAAGTGAAACATTTGCCTCACAGCTGACGTCAACACACAGTCTCTTTCTGAAAATGCCCGAGAAAAATGTTCAAAACAAACTGAACCCACTCTGCTCTTTATAAGGTAAATAAATCAGCTTCATGGTAGAGAGAGCATACACATGGGGGAAATAAATCCCATCTTTTCTGGCCTGGGGGCGGAAGTAGAAGGAGGAATGCAGGGAGGAGGCCAAGGGGATCAGAGGAGGCAGGAGAGCAGCAGAGCACAATCTGAGAGCAGAGATCCTGCAGCCAGGCCACCAGGGCTCCCAGACCGGCGCCACCCTCTCCCACAGGGCTGTGTGATCCTGGGTGAGACTCTCAACCTCTCTGTGCCTCAGTTCCCATGCCTGTTAGATGTGAATGATAACAATACCTCTTCCTCATAGGGTTGTTATGAGAATTAAATCATGCAAAGCACATATTAAGCCTCATCTAAATATAGACTAGTATGCTCACGTGTGTGAGATAAATCAGGGGTGCCCAAGGGAAGGAGCATTTCCACCCAGATTCCCATGGAGGACTCTGGAGGAAGCCTCTCAGGCAGACGGGAAATTTATGGAGCATGTTGTTAGCGGGGGAAGAGGCTGCTTTCTAGCTTTCCTGGGTGACCCTGATACACAGACAGGACCCAGAAGTAGTGGAGAACCTAACAGGAAATCCAGCCTGAGTGATTCCCTGTGGCCAGGCCTCTGTGCCAAGGACGTGGGGTTGGCAGCCATATCTCAGAGGACTCCAGCATGCCACCGAAACTGAGGGGAGCCAACAGCGACAAGGTCATGAATTAGAGCAGCTCCAGGCTTCATCTGGGACCACTGACAGGACAAATGTCGGCACCCCAGGACTGGAGGAGGCGGGGGTTCCACGTTCCTTCCCAGAAGAAGAGCATCCAGGCTTCCTGGCCTCCAGCTCCCTGCCACCTTAGAGGGAAGCAGGGAACGAGGAAGCATGAGACTCTGAGCATTTTACCCAAAGGACAGCCTAAATATCTGCTAAAGAGGCTGTTTGGTTTACAGGGTTGGACAATTAATTTTGCCCGCCCACCAGCTGGTATGTGTATGCAGGAGTGGGAGGAGGTGCTGGTCTGCAAAGGCAAGCAGGTTGACTACAGACAGAACAAATAAGCTGCATTTTCTCTGCACAACAGTAGGTGGCCCCAGGTAATTGTATGACCCTGATAGGCAGCCAAGCGTGAGAATGTGCAACATGCTCATTTCTCTCCTTCCCAATGTCTTCATTGGAAAAGTCGTGATCTACTTAGTGCCTATACATTGAGGTTTCTGTCACACATCAAGTCTCCTTTCCAGGGGCCCTGGTGGCAGAGGGAGCCCATGTCCTCTGGGCTGTGAGGGTCGGAGCAGAGGAGCAGTTTGCACAGCCTGGTTAGGAGTGGGAGGGACGGGGCCAGGTCCTGGGAGGAAAAGGAAGCAAAAAAAAAAGAAAAGGAACTAACAGTGAAAAGGGGCTGGGCAAGAGGGAGAAAGGAGATGTTAAAAAAACAAACCAACACAAACTCAGCACAAGAGCATGAAGCTAATAAAAAAAAATGAAACGGTAGCAGGAAAAACAGGGATCCTGAAATTGGAATCACAAAGAAACTACAGTGCGAAGAAAAGCAGACAATGTGCAAGAATAAGGAGTGAAGAAAGGAAGAGGGAAGGGGAGGTGGAGGGAGCCGAGGGAAACGCTAAGTGAAGGAAGCAGGGCCAGTGGCCAGGGGAAGGAGCTAGGGCGAGGATCAGAGCTGGGTCTCGACTGCCCGCGAGCCTAGCAGAACCGGGAGGAGGAGAGCAGATGGCCAAGGAAACCAGGGGGACGTGGGGCCAGAGGTGAGTGCAGGCAAGGAGATGCGGGAGGATGAGGGACCAGCAGGAGAGAGCAGGCGATGAGGAGGAGGGGACGGCTGAGCCCTCTCTGCAGCCCGGCTCTGGCTCAGCGCAGGCCTTTCCGGAGGGCAGACCCTGATAGAAAGATTACCCACTCCTAGGATGGCCTTTCTCCCGGAGCAGCCTGCCCTTGCCTTAAACTATTCGGATGGTGCACACAAATGTCACACCGCCCCACACTGCTAGCTTAGTTCTCCTTTCTTTTAACTGGAGAGTGAAGGCTCCGATGCAGGGTGTCAGGTTGGGAACCGACAGGCTGCACCATGACTTGTGTGGCTGGGCACTGTCGCCTTCCTGGGCGCCTTCCTCCTCCATATATATATAGATATATAAAGTATATTTTATGACTATGTTGTTATAAAGGCAAATATATTCATACTATACATTAAAAATTTTTCTTTAGTCTAAAAGTTCTTTTTTTCCCCTTCAGATTTTAGAAGAGATTAAACTATTTTTGTGAGCCACTGCAAGTATTGTGGGCCCTGGGCCTTGTTGCTACTGCACCGACAGATAAGTCAGCCCTGGAGACACAGGATAATAAACACTAAAAATATACAAAGAGATTAGATGAAATATTTATATTAATGTGAGCCAGGGTAAGTGCATTGGGTCAGCAATGACTGCTGATCACGAGAATTCCACGGTTACCGGAGCCATGGTTTTTGAGGTGCTGATATATACTGTTTAGTGCTTACTGTGCTGGGCACTCTTCTGAGTGTTTGGGATATATGCAAAGTTTCACCAAATCTGCATGAGCCCCTTTTGTTATCCCCATTCTACAGATGAGGACAAGGAGCTCAGAGAGGCCCATCACTTGCCCAAGTAGACGAGGACCCATGTTTTTGATATCCTGCTAATCTGAGGAGAGCTGCCTGGACCCTGGCTGTTATGTGAATGAAAACACTGTCTTCACCCATTCATTCACTTGGTCATTTCTCCTTTATTTCATTAGGTCAAAATATATTTATTCAGTCCTACTCTGGGTCAGGCACTGAGCTGGGCCCAACAGTTGCAATGGCAAGAGAACAGACCCAGTCCTGTTGCGCATACGGCTCACGCCCTCGTGGGAAATATGGACCTAAACAAAAGACCGCCCAAACATAATATTGCAAACTGAGGTGGATGCTATGAAATACAGAATGCAATGAAAGCATATAGCATCAGACTCCAATCTAGTCTTGGGGTCAGAGAAGGCTTCCCTGGGGAGTTAAAATTCCAAGTGAGGTCTCAGGGTAAGTAAGTTGATTAGGTAGACAGACAGTGGAACCACAGGTGTTCCAGGCAGAGCCAACAGCATGGGTCTGCTGCCCAGGATATAAAACCAGCCCTCAAGAAGATTCCAAGGACTCTGGTAGAACCAGAGTCCAGTGGGAAGAGACAAGGAATCCATGGAAATAAGCAGTGATGAAGTGATGCTGAGAGAGATGTGTGGAGCCTCCGAGAAATAGGAGGGAAAGCACTGGGCGCTCTGCATGGAGGACTGTCCATTGCAGAGCCGTGAGGGCCGTGTCCTGGCGTCGCTGAAGACTTCAGGGATACCAAGAGTCAGTTCTGTGAACAGAGTCTAATATGCAAGAACTCACTATGATCTTCTCATAAAATGACCAGAGCCCTACGAGAGGCTACAATAGGTGAGACCTGTAGAGCCATCAAAGGCTGTATAATGACACAGTGGGCGAAACAGAAGAGCAAGTGTGTGCAGGGGTGAGGTGATGGCTGGCGCAACTGAAGAGATGCTGTGCCTTGCAGACTGGCACCAAGCGCTGACCCCTTTCTCATGTTACTGTCTGTAGAGTCTCTTGTTGAGGAATAAAGATGGCAGCATGCGTAATACACAGGACTGCAATGCCTTGAAGTCTCCAGATGGGGGCCGCGTGCCAGTTCCCTTCACAACACATCCTCTTATCCATAGATGTTGATAACCTTGAGAACTTAAAAGAAAGAACTTCATTCGGTGAAGACCAGTAAAGCCCATATTATTATCTGACCACAGATAATCATAATGCTCAGATGTTCATTCTAAAAAGAAAAAGACTGCCTAGAATATGTAAGATTTATTCTCTATATTTTATGTTTTCTTTACAGAAATTTGCAATTTAAAATTTAAGCCATGTGGGTTATTCATCAAGCCAAGTGAGATTATAAAAATGAAACATTCAGTACAGTTTTTCAGAAACTGCTATGAAATCTTCTTGCTTATTTTTCAAGGCAAGATCCATGTCTGAATCCTTCTGTATCAGCTCCTGAGCAACACAAGTGAGGAACTCCCAGGGGGCTGTACTTTTGTCCAAAATGCTGAAATGTGATCTTACAGGTATCGTTTCACGGAGAACAATACTAGAATTTCTATACTTGTTTTATCTACTTCATAATAGCTTTTGAAATGCTCAAAATAACAGGACTTTTTCATTTACTCTTTTTTTTTATGAAGTGCAGGATGGGATCTGTCTTTATTTAAAATTTTGATTTTTTTTTCATTAATTCTGCTTCAAGTACCCACCTATCTTCTTGGCAGGAAGCTTAATTTCTGCCCCTTTCCACATGAGCTGTTGTAGGGGCTCATCATAGTCAAAAGGAAGTGGGTCCAACTTCCCCATCCCAGTGGAGAGAGCAGAGGTGTGGGACCACCCACAACTGCCCTGCATCTTGCTGCTCCTCGGGCCAGTTGTGAAATTTGTTGTCAGCTGCCCTGGGGAGTTCAACAGACGGTCCTGGTTCTGTGCTGTGGCACGTTTGGGTCTGGTCCCCTGGTTTCTTCAAAGGAGCATGCTGCACACTCTTTACTTCCTGCACATGGTCATCTCCCTGAGTGCCCAGGATGACTGTGCAGGCGTTCTCATGATGGTCGGCTCTTTGTGGCTACCTCCTTGAATTCATGTGGATGGCCATCTCTTGCACGCCCAGGATGCCTCTACAGGAGATCTCAAAATGGTAGCTATTTGTGGTCAGCTCTTTCAGTTTACACACTGTGGCAGGCAAAATAATGCACCGCCCACCCCCCCCCTCCCCCCAGGATATCCACTCCTAATCCTGAGAACCTGTGAGTATGTTATGTTACATAGCAAAGGGGAACAGAGATTGCAGGTGGAATTAAGGTTGCCAACATGCTGACCTTGAAATAAAGAGATTAGCTTGGATTATCTGGGTGAGCCCAATGTAATCACAAAGGTCTTTAGATGGGAAAGAGGGATGCAGATGAGTCAGAACCTAAAGGACAGCGTCATGAGAAAGACTTGACTGGTCGTTGCTGGCTTTGAAGATGGAAGAGTCATGAACCAAAGGATGCTTGCAGCCTCTGGAAGCCGAAAAAGGCAAGAAAATGGATTCTTTCCTAGAGCTTCCAGAAAGAATACAGCTCTGCCAACACCTTGATTTTGGCCCAGTGAGACCCATTCTGGACTTCTCACCTCCAGAACCACAAGATAATAAATGTGTGTCATTTAAGCCACTAAGTTTGTGGTAATTTGTTACAGCAGCAGTAAGAAACTAATGCCCATATATGACCTCCCTGAATTCCCAGGGTGCTGGGACCTGGTTTTCAAGGTGGTAGCTCTCCATGGTCACTTCCTGTGGCTAGCACATGTGGCATCTCCCAGAGGGCCTTGGGGTCCACATCTGGATTTTCAAGGCAATTGGTCTCCATGGTCAGCAATTTGGACTTACATCTGTGGCCATCTCTCTGAGTGCTGGGTGCCCGTGTCTCCAAGGTCAGTCCTTCAGTTCACAAACATGGCCATCTCCAGAATCCTAGGGCACTGGGTCATGACTGGTTCTGGAGTCAGAGCTCTCATGTACCCAGAACACCTGTTCCCCTTTCCTTCCCAGGGAGTAGGAACTCAATGCCAGGAGTAGAAACACTTTTCCTTGTAAACCTTCAAAATACAAAGTGTCTAACTAACCCTCTCTGACCCCTGACACTGGAGCTACTCACCAGTTTCCCAAAGGGAGATCATCCTCAGTGCTTCCGGGGGGCCCGACAGCTCGTTCTGAGGTGACTCTCAGGAGCACAAAGTTTCTGTACCTCTCGAGGGGCTGCATCTATCTTTCTGGAAGTGGGAGTAGAGCTAAATGGAAGAGGCCAGACTCAAAAGATTCCATACAGTATGTCCACTAATATAAAATTCTAGAAAATGCCAACTAATCCATAATGACAAAAAAAGGCAGATCAGTGGTTGCCTGGGGCTGTGGGCAAAGGGAGGGCTGGACCACAAAGAAGCAGGAGGAATCTTTTGAGGGTGAGAGAAATGCTCAGTGTCTTGATTGTGGCAGTTTCACCGGTGTATCCATCAGTCAAAATTCATCAAACTGTACATTTAAATAGACACAATGTATTGTATGTAAATTAAACTTCGATGAAGTTGATTTGTAAAAAGGGAAAAGGAGTATTACCCAAAGGAAAATCAAGGAGCTGTTTAAAAAAAAAATTGTCCACAACACAGAGAAAATGGCTGAGGAGGATGTTTTTACCCTCCAGCTGAGTATGCGGTGTTGCTAGTGTGCTTTCTGAACAAAGTTTAAAATTTTGCTTTTTTTCCTGTTACTATCTTTGATAGATAGGAATAATATCCTGCCGCAATACCTCCTTAAAAAACAAAGAAACAAAAACCTTGGAATAGAACAATGGTTCCTAAGATATTCATTAATATCTATTTCAAATCAAGAGCCAACTTTATACTTAGTAGTGAAATTCAAGAAACGTTTTCCATTAGAATAAGGAAAAACTATAATATTTATTTTCCTAAAATTTTCTGGAAATTCTGGCTAAAAAAATAACATCTCAAGCCTAAATAAGAGTTTTATTATTAGCAAGGAGGAGAAAACAGCCCCCTCCCCCCTTCCCTCTTTCCTCACTCCCTCCCTTCCTCCTTTCTGTCGCTATTACCATAGATCCAAAAAACCCAAGAGAGAATCAGCTGAAAACTCTTAGAGCTAAAAAGAGTTCAATAAGGTACTAGGTTACGAAGATATAAAAATCAATAGCTTTCCTGTGTACACAACAACTGGCTTGAAAAAGGAAAAAATATTCCATTAACAACAGCAACAACAAGATGTAAAATAGAGACTAAAAGGCAAACAACGAACTGGGTAAGTACATTTTCTACAAATATGAAAACGGTGCTCTTCTTGATCTAGAAAGTGCCCCCTTACCTCTGTGTCACCCACACCACCCGCCCTCTCCCCTTGCTCATTACATCCCAGCCTCGCTGACTGCCTTTCCGTGGCTGTTCTTCCAGCCGAGTTTTCACATCTGCCTGTCCCTCAGCCTGTACTGTGCCCTCTGTGCTCTGGTACCTATGATATCTCATCTCTTAGGTCTGTACAGCTTCAGAAACGTCTTCCCTGACCATCCTACCTAAAGGACCTCTTCTTCTAGTTGCTTCCGCTCACCCTATTGATTTCCTTCAAAGTATTATACCTATGATTACGGACCTCATCAGTCTGTTTCTTGTTTTCAGTCCAGCTGCTGCATCCCCTCTGCAGCCTTCCTCTTGTGCACTCACTCCGACAGCCTGCAGCCTTCAGAACTCATCCTGTGGTGGGAAGCTCTTCTGAGAGCAGCGAAACCTTGTCCAGAGGCTACATTGTTCTATTTCTCTGCAGGGCAGTCTCATCAAGGAAGGAAAGGTAATTTTTATCTACCCCTCCTGCTTCTGGGAGTTCAAGCCTAAAAACAAACCAACCAGAAATTGCCAAATGCCTCCGCGGACCTCCGTGTTTTCGTTTTGTTTGCCCTTCCCCCATGCAGATAGCGATGCATCAAGAAGGACAGGAGATAATTTCGTTCCCTCCCAGATGGGTAGACCTTTGCTTCCTGGGAGCCATATAATAGCATTTTCATACTTTCAATGTTTTTATATGTGAGTACAAGGCCCCCCAAATGAGAGCACTTTCTAAGTACAGAATAACCTCTAAGCAGGTCTCTGTTGGCTGAAAGTCTTGACCAGTTGAAGGAATTAGGCTGGATTGTCTCCAAAGGGAAGGAAAGGAAAGGCAACTAGGCGGGGATCTTTATCTTTTCTTGAGGTATAGTTTATACATAGTAAATTTCCCTCTTTTTGGCATACAATTCCATGACTTTTGACAAATACAGTTGTGTCATCACCTCCACAATCAAGACATGGAACAGTTCCATTAGCCCAAAATGTCATCCCCTCTCTCTACTCCCAGAAACTGGCAACCACTGCTCTGTTTTCTGTCCCTGTAGTTTGTGCCTTTCCCAGAAGGTCGTTGAAGCAGAACAACACTGCAGGAAGACGTTTGAGTCTGCCTTCTTTTACTTAGCATAATGCATTCGAGATTCTTCCATGTTGTAGACATCAGTATTCAGACCTTTACATTGCTGAGTAGTATTCCATTGTATGGATGTTCTTATTTGGGTTGTTTGCAGTTTTTGGAGATTTTGAATAAAGCTGCTGTAAACGTTTGCTGTCAGATTTTTGAGTGAACACACGTTTTCATTTCCCTTGGGTAAATACCTACGAATGGGATTGCTGAGACACAGGGTAAATATACATTTCACTTACAAAAAACTGCCAAACTAGTTTCCAAAGTGGCTGTGCCATTTTGCATTCCCACCAACAACTGATTTTAGTGTTTTGAGGGTTAAATTGAGGAGGACCGAATCGCCAGGTGTGTTGGATACTTCCACCCCCAACCGGGAATGGGGCTGAGACGTTTAACATCTGATGCTGGGTACCTTAGCCCTGCCTCTCACAGACAGTCTCTAAGGAGGCAGGCCATGGAAGGGCGACTTCCGTACTGACTGGGTGTCCTAGACATTACATGCTGATGCCTTGGAAAATTAGGTGAAAGACCCTGTAGCTGACCTTGGCAACCACTGGACTAAGAATCAGGATAGTCCCCTCCTATCCTCCTAACGCTGTAAGCACTAAACTTCTTCTTTGATCCAAGGAGAAGGAAAGAATTCTGAAAAATGTCTTTTGGGCAACCTGTGTGGATGGAGCTGAGCTGGGTACGATTTATGGAAATAAAGCAATATGACTCATATCCCGAATGTTTCAGAACATTGTATTAAGCTCCCGGTACATGCCAATCGTTACACTCAGCACTTTACATACATTACTTTCAATCCTTAAAACAACCCAACAAATTAAGCATATGCATCACTTAGCTATCAAATTTAGGTTTCAAAATTGAAGCATAAGATAACGACTCTGATCATGTCACTACTTTGCTCAGATCCTTTGACAGCGCTCTCTATTTCACATGCCATCTCTTCCCACTTTCCTCCAAGGCTCCGGCCAGCCACTACTGTTTCTTACCCCGGGCCCCTGCGTACGGTATTCCCGCTGCCTGGCAGCCTTTCCCTGCCTCTTCCTCTTTTTCATCTCTGCTCAGTTTTTTATGACCCCCCTTCTTGTGTCCTCTCCATTGAAGCATTCCCTACTCATCCAAAAGAGTCGATGATTTCCTCCGTGGTCTCTCCGCTGTAGCATGTACACTCCTGTCTCCTTGGCTGTGAATCTGAGATTAGAGAGATCCCCTTACTTCTGTGTCCAGCAAGGAGTCTGTGCATCCGAGGACAAAATAGCTGTTTTTAGAGCGAGAAGAAGGAAGGGAGGGAGGGAGGAAGAAAGAGGGGGAAGGAGAAAGGGAGAGATGGTTACTTTTGCAGCCTAGTACCATAGAAAGAAATGGTAGTTTGGGCTCAAAACTGTCAACCAGCTTTGAACGCTCTCATAAAACAATTTCATCTTCAATTTTAAAATGAATACAAAGAGAAATTTTCATAGAACCATCACTTCTAAGACCAGAAAAAACCTTAGAGGTCATCAAAATGTTGCCTATTTCTTGTTTTTCTTTTCTGTTTTTTTTTTTTAATGTGACCTTAAATGCAGGCCTACTTTCACTACTTTATGGCCTTTTATCTTCATTTCCTTTGTTACCAAGCTCTGTTTATCACCTAGAGTCCTTGCCTTTTTGTAATTTCATTGTGATTGTGTATCACCCATTCTGATCTCTGCCACTTCTGTTCAGATGTTACTGTGAACCCTGCTTTCACTCATGGCGATTTTATCTACCTGTATTAAGGAAACAATATCGTCCATGAAAGACACTCATTTTTAATGCCATGTATATTGTAATAGTATTTTCTAAGTAAACACTTACACTGTATTTTTGTGTGCATGTTTTATTTGTAAATGGAACTTTGTATATACGTGAGGGGAGGGGAAGGCAGCAAAATAAAATTTCGTTTATAAAATTAATACAAGTTAGAAGGAGATTGATATTGTCTTCAAGAAATGTCTTCATGAAGCTTGATTTTAACCTGAGCAGCCCATGCATAGCTAAAGACAACCACATTATGAAATACCGATCAGTTACAAAATATCCTTTGGCTCCCTAGCGTGACTATTTAAATGTCTGTACCTTTGACTATGTATTAAAGTCTTTGAGTAAAAATTCTCCCTTCCATAAGTGAAACTAACATACAAAGAGCCCTTGAAGTCAGCTGCGGCTTTGGGAGGGGCCCACCTGGCCAAGTGAGGCAGGAGGAACACACTGGCCACGAGGAGGTGGGTTCCACACCATATCCCCGTACCCCCATTGAGGGCAGAATGTACTAAGCACTCATGGGTGGATCAAACCAGCTGAGAAGTTTTCATGTTTGTCTTTCATAATCCTACATAAATCATAATTTTAAAGAAAAGGGTAAAACAATGAGATTATGTTTTTGGTGTGTTAAATCACTGTTACAACACTGTATGTATGGAAAGTAATTCCTTTTTCCTCTTCAGTTTTGATTTCTTACCTTTCAGAAGTGATGTTTCATAAAAATAGCTGAATAAACAAATAGCATTTAGAAACATTTTGCTTTGAAAAAACTGAACCTTTTGCCTCCTTTTTCTCAGTCTGTCAAATAGCTTACGTTTATGAAGTGCTGGGCAAAATATTGTCCCAGGTGCCAAGGGATATTGCTAAGGAATAGAAATCTTATAGCAGGGGTGAAATGGGATAAACAAAACTGGAAATAAAGCAGCCCCAAATAAATATGATGTCTGATCATTTTAGGGTTGCGCAGGCATAATGGTATTTGAAAAGTGAATCCTAATCCACTTCTTGTCCACTTTTTCAGGCTCAAATTTAGCTACTCCCCATGGACTTCCTGTTCTCCAGCCACATGTTACAGTGGCCTGAGGAGCCCCACTTCCTCAAGCTTCTGGGTCCTTGCAGACGCCCTCCGTCATCCTGGGGTGCCTTTGCATCTTGGATGCCACTTCCTCTGGGGAGCCTTCCCTCATCCACCGCCTCATGCAGGTCAGATCCCCACTCCTCTGGTTCCCAGAGGGCCGTCCACGTACATTTCAGTTTTGTCACTTGCATGAATTGCCAGGTGATTATTTATTAATGTCTGTCTGCCCAAATAGACTTCATTCATTGATCCATTCCTTCAACACACGGCGGTGCTGGGAGAACAAAGTCGAGTCTCGGTACTTCCTGCCCTGAGGTGGCTCACAGGGAGGAGGGGTGACAGATTAGCGCCCCGACAACAACAACGACAGCCCTGTGTGAACAGTGACGTACAGAGATACACCTGGCACACTGCGGCACTGTTCAGGGTGGCTGCTGCCTGGTTTGGAGGCTGCAGAGGTGTCAGGAAAGCTTCAGGGATGGGGAGACGCTCGATCTGAGGCTCAAAGGCTGAGTGATGGTCGGTCGGTCAGGCAAAGTTAGGGAAGGTGGGGAGTGACGCTGCAGGCAGAGGAAATGAGCATCTCGAGGAACCGTGAAAAGAGGAACAGGGAACTACAAACACGTCTGCATGCCAGAGAGCAGAGCACGTACAATAGCAGCAAAGAAAGAGTCTGGGGCAGGTCCGGAGTCCTGCTATGCCAGGCTGTGGAGTATACACTGGAGTATGTGTCATGGATGCTTGTTCTGAAGGGATGTGAACAGAGAAGCAGCAAAGTATTGCGGGCATTTTGAAAATATTATTCTAGGAATGAGAGAGAGCAGAGTGGAAGGAAGTGAGCCTGGAGGCAGAGTTCCTCCTTTTAAGAGGAAACAAAAGATGAAGCTTTTTGGTGGGGAAACAAGGGTGGGGAACAGCAGGGAGGAAACTGATTGTGGAGATATTTATTTAGATGGAGAGCAGACAGAACAGGTTCATGGAGGAGGTCGAATGCTGACTGCCAAGTGTCAGGGAAACATCAGGAAGAGAAGCCCAGGAGGCAGCTGGACACTGGGAGCTGGAGACCAGGAGAGAAATCTGGGCTGGAGGTAGCAATCTGGGAGGCATCTGTGTGTAGTTCAAAGCTGACGGTGAGATTTCCCAGGAAAAAATATGTCAAGTGTGAAGAGAAGAGGACTGGTGCTGGACCCCTGGGGAACATTAGGTAAGAACAGATTGAAAAAAGAGATCCTGAGAAGAGGGCAACAAGGAAGCAGAGAGGCTGCAGGAACACTTGGTGAGATGATGTCCCAGAAACCGGGGAAGCAGAGTCCAGAAAAGGCGCAGGTGGTCCAGAGCATCACAAGCTGCAGCGGGGGCCGGACTGAGTCAGACTGAGAGGTCCTCAGTACCTTTGGCAACTAGGTGCTCAGAAGAGAGCTTGGTCAATGCAGCTCCCTGGGGTGGAGGGGGCAGAAGTCACCATGCAGATGGCAAAGGGATGAACGAGGAAGGCGGACTCGAAGAACAGGGCACTAGCAAGTGGATGCTTCTCTCCCCAGCAGCTTGACTGTAAAGGGAAAATCAATGGAGAAATGTGGGGTTGAGGGGTTCCTTGGGGGCTTGGAGCACCTCGCACAGCACGTGGCCCACAAAAGGCACTCAAACGTGCATTGACTGAATACAAGTTGAGATGATAGGTCGCTGCATAACTGAGTGACTGGTCAGGGAAGACTTCATGTGTTCTTAAGTTTGAATGACTCATTTATTTATCTTCAGAAGAGATGGCATAGAGGCTACACCAGAGCAGGGAGGAGCAGGAGGCCTGGAAGGGGGGAGGCAGCCCTCGTGTTGTAGGTCTGGAGAGAGTAAAGCGAGGCGAGGCTCACGTGCTGGGAGCAGGCATGTGTGCCCCAGACGGACGGCAGCTTGCAAGGGGAGTAACTGCTGAGGAAGTGGATGGAAGGAGGACAGACAGACGCCCTGGAGAGCAAAGCGGGATGAGAAATACCATTGTAGCCTAATGTTGATCGTTCAGGGGAAGTGGGAAGTCCATCGAAGTGCCCCTTGAATGCCATCAATGACCCAGCCACTAAAACAGTGCGAGTCAATGCTCTGGAGCAAAGACATCTTTTTTCTGCCCTAAACTACACAAGATATCGAGAGAGTAAAGTAACAATGGAAATGGACCTGAATTGGACAGTCTTCACAGCAAAACCGGAGTAATCACACCCTCCCCACAGAGCTGCTGTGAGAACCACAGGTGAAATCCTTTAAAGGAGCCAGGGAGGCTGTCATCATCACTGTGTTGCCGCTAAGGCCTTTGTAGGTATAAATCTGCTTCTCCAGCTTGCACCCCTCATTTTTGTCCCCTCGTCTCTTACCTTCTCTGCTTGGGTTGGTTTTCTTATTAAAAAAGACAACATGTGCAAAGTGACAGCACCTGGAATAGGGGCCTGTGTGTCAGTAAATGCCAGCTACTAACCCTGCCCCTTCCGCTTCTCCTCCTCCTGCTGCTGCCTGTCCAGGGCCTGTGTGAGCCCAGGCACACTCCTCCTCCATTGCCTCGAGTTTTCAGGAATGGTGCCTCCTGGGCCTGGTTTAAGCCTTTCGATTCTGGGCAAGTCACAACTTGGGGGCCCAACGGTGAAACTGATAAAGCCTAGGTTGTGAGATCATGAGCTGAACCTGCAAAATCTCCACTGTCAACTTGGCAAAATCCTGTAAGGCATGGTGTTAAGGAAGATATTTCCAATCCACGCAGGAAACCTGTCTTTCCCTTAGAAAGCATTGACTCAGACATCAAATCTGTGTTATTTATTCAGTTCTTGAAAGACTAATCTTTTTCTTTCTTTTTTCTTTTTTTTTTTTTTTTTTGAGGAAGATTAGCCCTGAGCTAACATCTGCTGCCAGTCCTCCTCTTTTTTTTTTTTTTTTTTTTTTTGCTGAGGAAACCGGCCCTGAGCTAACATCCGTGCCCATCTTCCTCTGCTTTATAAAGGGGGGTGCCTGCCACAGCATGGCTTGCCGAGCAGTGCCATGTCCGCACTCAGGATCCGACCCCGTGAACCCAAGCTGATGTGCCCACTTAACCGCTGCACCACCGGCCGGCCCCCCGGGAGACTAATCTTTTAAACATGACCTTTGAGCCTACAGAGCAGACACCCAGGAATGCGGGCAACCGTGAGAGGTAGAGAAGGGCCTTGAGGGCAGGGGTGAAGGTGTGAAGGTCATTGGACTTGGCTTCAGCGGCGCCAGGGTCTGGCGCTCATCGGCCCGCAGGCAGGTCCAGTACTCTTTGGAGCTGCAGCCTCGTACCTGTCAACTGGGTCTGGTCATTTCCGTCCCATCGCAGGGCGGCTCAAGTGGGCGTACACGGCTTTCCCCCCACCCCCCAAAATTGTTAACCCTGACCGTGCATCCCAGCTCCTGAAGCCCCGACTCCACTTATCCGAGGCTGCTTGCTGGGTGACGACCAGCGGGGACCCTCCGGCAGCCATCCTGCCACGGGCAGTGCCGGGCCTTCGGGGAGGAGCAGCGGGGCACGGGCGCGGGCACCGAGGGCGGCACAGCTCCGCGGGAGCGAGAGCCAGCTGTAGGCGGCTCCTTCCTGTGCAAAGTTTTCTGACCTCTTCCTCCTCCCGCCCTCCCCGCCAGCAGCTCGGCGCCCGGCGCCCGGCGTCCAGCCTCCCGCCCCGCGCGCTGCCTCGGGGTCGCCGCGCCGGCAGCGCACCCAGGGCGCCGGCCCCACCCCGCGCTCCGGGCCGGCCGCTGCGGGCCCCGATGGCCGAGGCGGGCAGGCGCGCCGCGGAGCCCCCGGGAGAGCCGGCCGGGCCGGCGGCGGCCGAAGCCCCCGAGCCCGCGGCGCCCGCCCTGCGCAGGCTGCCTGGGGACCCGAGTCCCCGCGGCCGCTCCCAGAGCGACCTGTCGTCGTGCTCGAGCAGGGGCCGCCCGCTCCGGGTCCACATCACCGGCTCAGGTAAGGGCGGCGCGGGGCGCCGGCGGGGGCCGGGGAGGGCCGGCGCGGGCAGGTGGCGGCGACGGCGCCGCGGGCGTCCGCGGGCACTGACCCCCGCAGGCTGGCGGCAGAGGGGAGGGGCTGGGGTGGGAGGCGGAGGGCGAAGCTGAGCTCCCCCCACCCCCGCCCTCCTTCTGGGCTGCCCGCGGCGCGGTCCCCTCGGCCGGAGATGCTCCAGCCGGACTGCGGCTAGTGCGCCGGGTGGGCGCGCGCTTCCCCAGGGCGAGCGAGCGCTCTCGCGCGGCTCTGCGGCCCAGAGCGCCAGCTGCTCGGGTTCTTAGGCTTGTCCAGCAGGGACAGGAACCTTCTGTCGGTCTTCAACGTGACTTTGGTCTCTCGGAAGGGTGCGGTCCTCTCACTTCGGAGGCTAGGGCCAGTGCAGGTCTTGGAAACCCTCCCAACTGCTCATGCTTCTGAAATCAAGCATTCTTTGGGGCTTGCCGGTCAGAGGACCGGGGGTATGTTTCCTCCCTGTCCTGACCCATGCAGGCGGTGGTGATCGTTGTTATGTGACAAAGCCTGGAGTCAGCAGCTCTGCCCTACCCCGGCCTGCTGGCCCTTGCCTGGCGCCCTGGCTCCTGTCTGCGCCGTGTGCACGGTGGTCCTGCCTGGGGGCCGCTCTGTGCATCGGGACAGGCAGAACCAGGAGCTCGGCCAAGGGCTGGTGCTGCCGGCGCTGTGCTGTGTAATGTGCGATAAAGCACTTAGCCTTGGCTCTCCTGTCTCGGTATTTACAGTGGGGATGCGAGTGTGGCGCTACCACAGGGGGAGGTTATGGGGATTAAATAATTAATCATTTTTAAATGCTTTTGAACAAAGCATTATCCTAAGAACTGGGAGAACCGTTTTTAAGAGCCTGCGTGATTTGTTAAGTTTCCACAGATTGTTTTCTGATTTGCAATCTAGGGAGGATGCATGGGAGCTGGGAAGCTGGAAATGAAGCTAATATCAAAACTACCAGCAGCAGCGGAGGGCCCTTGCAATGGTGCACGTGGATACACCGCCCTCCACCGCGACCCCTTCAGGCTCTGTGCTCTGTGGTCAGGCTCTAACTCAACCTCGCTGCTAGCCGAGCCCGGGTGTCACGTTGGAAAAAGGCACATTTCCATATCCCTGCCTCCCCTCTTTTCCATCAAAGCCCTCTGTCCCTTCTATTCTTGTCTTGTTTTTGCCACATAACGTGTATACTTAGAAAACATCAAAGATACTGTTGATCTGACTTTGCAGATCACGTTGAATAAAGCCGGTCAGAATTGCAGGTTAGGGGGACGTAGGTCATGGGATTTGCGTCAAGGTTCTTTTGCCGAATTCATATTGTGAAAAGCATTGAGTTGAATGCATTTTACCTCCTGATTTTCATGTCTTGGCCAAACTGAACTTGACCCGTGGATAAGCTTGATTGATTTTTACAGAGATTAACGGTTCAGATGACTCTAAAGAGACAACGGAAAATTAGCCCAGTTGGTGACTGTAGATACAATAAGCATGCTTCTATTATTTGTCATTTTCGTAGATAGAAATCAAGGGCAGTAAAGACATTTTAAATGTGAGTGTGCAAAGTGTGCATCATGTGAACTATGGACTTCAATTTATAAAGTTATTTTACTTCCAAGAACTCGGTGGCTTTTATGCACTCTTAAAGGATGTTAGGAAGTGACAACTTCCAGCTGAGTTGTCTCCTGTACCCAGGGATGCTGCCGCACGTGTAAAAGCATGAACGTCTTCCACGTGACTGTATTCCATGTTCCTAACTGAGCCTTGAATCAAGAGCAGGCTAAACATGACCAGGAGCTCTCTGTGTTTCTTAGAGTCAGAGAGAAAAAGCTAATGAGCTGGTCCCTCACTGACACACAATATTTCCCCAGAATCCTGCAGCCTGTGCAGCCATGCCCTGATGGATCGTCAGCCAGACGACTGGGCTGGGATAACGGGATTGTCTGAGAGGCTCAGTGAGAAGGTTACACCACCTTGTGAGAGCATTCCTTGGCCTGGAGGGTGGCCCAATTTCCTGGCCCTCCCCAGAAGCTCTGGGAGGATGTAGCCAGAGCTAGATCATATGTGGCCTTGTCAGCACCGGCCCCACACACACAGCATCGGCCTCATCTCAGGATCTCAGACCTACTTAATCCCCATCTGCATTGCACAACATCCCCAGGTCGTTCTTAGGCACGCCAATGTTTGAGAAGCATTGCTCCCTGGCACTGGTTTTCAAAGTTGGTTACACTTGAGGAGTTAAAAAATCAACCACCACCAAACCACAACCAAGCACCTGATGGCCGGGTCCCACCCCAGATTCTGATTTAATTGGTGCAGCTGGGCATTAGGCGATTCTAATGTGGAGCCAAGTTTGAGAACCACTGCGCTGTGGCATCTGTATCACTGTGGCTTGCTGCCATGTGGACTGTGATACTGTGACCAGGGTTGCCCTGGGCAAGCGTTAAGTTTGAAGAATTTGCTTTAGCCTCTCCTCACATCCCTGTTGGTGTTCTCTTTTCCTGCTGCCCCCTCCCAAGCAGCTTTTCTCACTCCCGTTCTTGCTTCCAGCCGATTGTCAATAAGGGGTGAACCATTCAGTGTGAGTCCCTGGGAGAGTGTTGATTCCCGGAAGTCACATTTCGCAATGATGTGCGGCTGGGAGGGAGCAGAGGAGGAGAAGGAAGAAAAGACTGGAAGGTGTTTTCCAAAGGTTATCAGAGAAGAGACTCATTCCCAAAGAACTGCCCCCTGCTGGCTACCCCCAGCTGTCACCCCTCCCCCCACAGCTTCCTCTCCACCCTTCTCTCTATGAAAGAATGATAAAGACTTGCAACTTGGCCTCAGAAATGTTGCCTCCTACGCCAGTAAGAGACAGTCCAATAGGAAACATATTTTTAAAAGACCCGCTCTGTGCTGGCACTGTGTTGGTGCTGTGGGGACATCACAGAAGCATCTACTCTCCTGTCTGTGCTTTATTACTAGACTTTTGTCAAGAAAGCATCTCGGGCTTCGGCGGCTTTTGTGGAACTTATGATTTGAACACTTAATTTTTCACATGATAAAAATGCAGGTACATTGTCAGCAAAAGCCATAGTTTTATATTTTAAAATCCATACCAAAAATGTGAAGAAAGCCATATATTTTCAGATAAATACTTTTTTTATTGAGGAATATTAGCCCTGAGCTAACATTTGGTGCCAGTCCTCTTGTTGCCAATCCTCTTTTTGCTGAGGAAGATTGGCCCTGAGGTAACTTCTGTGCCCATCTTCCTCTACTTTATATGTGGGACACTCCCACAGCATGGTTTGATGAGCAGTGCTAGGTCTGTGCTTAGGATTCAGACTGGTGAACCCAGGGCCACCAAAGTGGAGCACGTGAACTTAATCATTACACCACTGGGCCGGCCCCTTAAATAAGTACACTTTTAAAATATAACAAATAACATTGTAATTGATGCCTAAGCTCTTTGATTGAGCTTATAGAAACTGAGATTGGTTTTGCTTTACGGTATTTGAACTCACAGTTCTGGAATTCAACAAGAGTTCTGGATTTTTAAAATCTAGTATTTCTTTGTAAATAAAGTGATGTTTTATCCATTACAAAAATAAAATCCTGAAGCAAGCTTTTCATGGTGTAGGGACAGGTGTGCTCTTAATTTTCAGACCAGTCTTCTTCCACGTTGGGAACATTAATATAGTCAGTGGGTTCTGACGTGCTCTTCTGATAAGCCCAATGTTTTACTGAGTTAAGAACCTCAGGACAGAGGCCAGGACTTATTCCTGTTGTAAGCTGTCAGTAAGTACTGACTGTGGACCTACTGTGTGCCACACGTTGTGCTGGACACACTGGGCTGTAGGGAGGGCCAAGAGGTGTCTACTGTCTTCAAGCGATGACTCTTAGTCTTGCATGTAGGGCTGTACTGAACGGAGAACCATTTGAGCCCCCTCAGAAAGGGAGGTGGGAGCCAGTGGATCACTTGATCAGCTTGGTACATAGTACAGTCTCATCTCTCCTGGTACCTGATTCATCTCCGCATCATCCCTTTGCCCTGGTGTATGTAGGTGTATAAGTAATGGCAAATCCAGTATCTTTTTCTTGTGTCTTTCATCCCTGGTGTGTTCAGTGCCAAGTGGAATGGGAAATCTAGCAAAGCTGGATGTTCTGTCAGGCCAGACCCACTGCTGCCTGGCCACTGCCACAAGGTGCTGCTGTCTGAGATGGGGTCTGCAGCTGATGGTCACCTGTTCCATCTGGGGAAGTCCATGCTTGTCCACACCTTGTTGGTGCTCCCACTGCCTCTCACTGACCTCCAACGTTGCCGCTCTGCCAGTTGATGCTTGTATGTTCAGCCGTTGTTCCCAGAGCATAACGCTTTGTCACGGTGGCTGGGTCCAAGGCGCTCCTGGGCCCCAGACACAGCTGGGCTGGAGCTGCCCTCGGCCAGGAGCAGAGGATGCCTGCTCACTCTCCATTTGCGTAACTCAGAGTGGTTTTTCACCACACAAAGACCGTCTGGCTCTTGGTTTTGTTCTGTTTCTGCCGACTCACGGAAGAGCCCAGCCGCCCTGCTGGGAAAGCTGGGGCAGCCTGGGCAGTAAAAAAGGGCGTGGGGTGATGAGGACAAGGGGCTCAGATCCAGCCTGTGCCCTGCCCTGGTCAAGCCAAGCACCAGTTCCTCTTTCTCTCTCCAGCACTTTCTCACCAGACACTGAGCTTCTCTCTGCCTCTCTGCTAAGCAGCATCCTTACTCTAATCCCAGCAGCTTCTTCCTCACAGGGGCTTCTGCATCCATCCGCTCACGCCGTGGCTTCCCCCCTGCCCACAGCAAGCCCCTCTGCCTCCCCTTAGCTCTTGTCCCTATGTTTACTCAGAATAGTTTCTTCATATTTCTTAGTGCAAATTGCATAGAAAAGATATACTGTTTGAAGCCACCTTATCAGGCAAGCCATAGGTCACAGGTCACAGAGCAGCCTGTGGATTATTTG